GTTAATTTCTTATTTATGAGATAAAAATGTTTATGATTATAGTTAAGAGTATTTGAAAAAAAAACAATTTAAATTTTAACTTTAACAAGTTATTCTTTTATTATTTTCTTAAAAATTAACTTGACTCCGTTACTCAAATTTATTTAAATTTTAAAATTAACTTTAACTTGGCTTAGTTTTTTTTAAGGAAAACTTAACTTATATTAGTTAAAATTGGTTAACTTGTCCACCGTTAAATTTTGATAAGTAGGTTAACCATTCATTTCATGAACAGTGAAATTCGCCCAGATCTTGAATTTTGGACAAAAATACATTATACGGACATCCATTTCATGAAATGGACAATATTTATATTCTATACTTTGTGTGATTATTATATAACAACTATTTATTTTTTTTATTTACCAATAAATTATATTATATTATATTTTAATTTAATTTTCATAAAAAAAATAATAATATAATAAAATATGATGTAATGTTATTATTAAAGCGCGGATTTTTATGCACTTAAAAGTATCGAAATATGGCATATAATATGCAGTAAAAATAATGAAAATATGCAGTCAAAATTATGAAAATATGCAAAAATATACAAGAATTTTTTATTTATTTAAAATTTACAATAAAACTTATAATAATTAATTACTTAAATACTTAATAATAAATAATTTCTAAACTTAATTTATTTTTAAAATTGTATTTATTATTAAAATTAATAATCATATGCATTTCAAGTTTTTCTTCTGTGAAGTTGTATCATTTATCGATTAACATATTTTTAAAGACTGAGAACGAACGTTTGACGTCAACCGAAGTTATTGGGGCATATTTGAAGCAACTTAGTATTGTCGGATCTTGATAAAGATCTTCAAGATGAACGTTTTCACTTAATAACACTGAATTAATTTTTCGTAGAATTTTCAGACCTTCATTTTAATTGGAAAGCTCGTTTAATTTTGTTGTAAGTGTTACACCTTTCAATCCAGGAATAGAATGCATTTTTTCTTTCGTTTCGTCAATTATTGAAAAGCTTAGATATAAAGTCATATTTCGAGTTTCCAGTTTTTTTTATGACTATTTTTATCACTAAAAATGCCAAATGAATAGATATAAATTTTAAATCATTCTACTTGACAAAATATTATCCTATACATTTTTTTAAATTTTCGCTTCAATATGCAATAAATTTTGAATTTTGTCAAAATATGCAAAAATATGCAATAACCTTCAAATATGCAGAAATATGCAAAAAAAAATTTCAACATTAGCTTCAAATTATGATAATTCGTGGAGATAACTGACAAAAATCCAAAAATATTAAAAGGAAAAAAATATGCAATGGCATAGAAATCCGGGCTCTAGTTATTATAAATTATATAAATATAGTAGTATTACCTATGAAGTATTATTATAAAATAATATCCTTATTATTTTTGCACGATTGATTATTACTAGAGTTTGAATTTGAAGGCAAAAGCCTTTTTTCTTTAATAATAGTAATAGAAAAATAATTTTTTCATAAAAATTTGTATTATTTAATATGTAAGACAATGGATGTATTTTTTTTGCCTTTTTTACTTATAAATGCCTTTTTTGTGTTTAATTAATCAAATACATTTGATAGTTTTATACACAACGTACGTCTTAACGGTAAAAATCGATAAGATCTTCTGAAGACGGTGCATTGTCATTTGTCAATTATTTTTAATGGGTTTTATTATTTGCGATATTTATCGATATCGCTAAATACCATATCGCGTATTTGATATTGCTAGCTAATTTAACGTTTAAAAAAGTAGATACTAGATTCAAAGTTGTTTGTTTGTCAGTGCCAGAAATTATTAAAAAAATTCAGGAGGGCTAGGATTTTCGTTTTGTTAATGTAAGGAAAAAACTCCTTGCCAATCAAGTTTAGAGTATATGTTTTAAAAATAACATAGTATGTAAATGTAATAATCGATTTCATAATCAATTGTCGTGAAAAAATAAATAAGTAAGAATATTATTTCATAATTATACTTTATAGGTAACACTGTCATTTATAAAATATAATATACAATTAATTATAATTGTATTTTATAATAATATAATATATAATATGTATTTGTAATAATTATACAAAATACAAAATACTTGTATTGTCCATTTCATAAAATGGATAATATCCATATAATAATGTATTTTTGTCAAAATTATCACGATCTGGGTGAATTTCATTATCTGGATATTCAATCCATGAAATGAATGATTTCACTTTTTGGATGCCACATATTATATATTAAGAGTTGGTGTTCTGGTCATTTTATGTGTGTTATATGATCTTATAAGTTATAACTACTACGTACTCATTGTAGTATCGCTATTATTATTATTATTATTATTATTACTATTAATACTGTTTTAGCATTAAACTCTTAAATTTATATTCATGCTGAAGTACCTCCGATGGGAGGTTTCTTCTCTCAGTCTCTTCTGTCTGTTTTTATTGTTCTATTATTATCACTTAAGCTTATTGTTCATTAATTGTAACAGATAGCGTAATATAGAATTCTGTTAAAAAAAAAAAAAAAATAAATATTATTTTCTATTTTTTTACCATGGGCCACATTAATACTTGAAAATACACAAAACTATATTATACCTATAAACAGTTATATTTGATTTCATGAAAAATTTAATTTACATAAGTATATAATTATATATTTTTTAATTAATGGTTTTTACTAATAATTATAATTTAATAAATTTACATAACTAAATTATGTAAAAATTAAAAAAAAATATTAAAATATCATGAAAATTTAAAATCTTTTTGTGAATTATATAAAATTGCTTCACAAACCGTGGCCCTTAAGTTGCAACTTTCCAACCCCTGATCTACGGATTACAAATATAATATATGAATCACCTGATCAAATAAAAATATAGGTACTTATAAAAAATGTACATACATCAGGAGATCACCTTGTTTACCTGTATAGTTTAAGTATCCGTTACTTGTAGACATTGACGTCGTGGTAAGTGCATAAAGTATTGAACAGGTCGTCGAGTTTTCATAATGATATGCAGTTCAAGGGCATTTGTAAATAATATTCAACACTAGTGACTAGTGAGAACCAGTCGGCGGAATCGATCCGTAGCCTACAGCACAGAGAGTGTTCCGGTTGTGCTTGTTTCCGGTATTTTTATATTTAACAAAATACAATTTCAATTAAAACCATTATAATTCATTCTTATTCTATCTTAAATACTCACAAAATAATTCATTCGTCTTATATTATAAGTTATAACCATTAAACTGACCAGTCGGATGTGTATTATACTTACGTTTAGTATATTTTTTGCGTGTTTGACTATCTATATCTCGTTTCGTTTTAATAGTTATGTTTATATACACAAAACAAAAATTATAACTAAATTTACCATTCTTAAATAATAGAAAAGAGATAATAAAAAATCACAATAAAAACATGATACAAGTAAATCTGTGGAGGGCAAGGATACCGACGTTGTGAGTATAGGGCCCGCGTGTCCCTCTTTCCACCGTTTAATTGGTCTATGTTGTTAAAACTTATAAGGTATATTCTTAAAATCATACATAAATATTTATGTACACCACCGGTTAGGTTTCTCTGGGTGTCTTTGTTAAAGGACTCAAGTATACTCTGCCTAGTGAGAGAACATCTCAATTCTGCGTAATCCCACCATCGAGACTGATTCGACTATGGCGAGATGTCGTATGGGGATGCATAGAATTGGCACGTTATTTTGGTGAATAGAGAATAGCATGTCACATGTCTTGACATTTGACAAAAAACAGTTTCATAATGCTCAATAATAAGCTGTTTATTTCGTACACATATTTCTTTAAAACTAAAAAAATGTATGGATTATACGCCACTTATGGCTCTCCTAATTATTATGCTAACGACGGCATGGGCATACTTAATGGGAATTTTAACACACCTCCGATAAGTAATGTAGTGACGTATATGGTGTATAATTCTTTGGTTGGACTATTGCAGTTAAAAGGTATAAGGTATTGAAACTACCTATGCAAAAGGGAAATGTTTCCAAATATTTACCTATTTCTATAAATATTATGTACACTACAATAATATAACCTATATAACGTTTTTATGCGTCTAAAAAAGCTAAAACTGCTTTAATTAATCTCTGATCTATAAATCAATTTCCACCTCCCTACCACGCATCCCATAATAAAATATATTAAGTAGTAAGGTATTATAAATAGCACCGTAGTTCATAACTTATAAATATGTACCTACTATAATGAACCTAGGTACCTACCTAGTAGTAGGTACATGTGTCATGTATGTATCAATATAATATTAAGTAGATATTGTGGAAGTATTATACTTTACATATTATCAATGCTACAAAAAATTAGGGTTCTTTAATATTGATGAATTATCTATTTATTAGTTATAAGCTGCAAAAGGACTAGCAGTCATTTAAAAAATAATATAAAATCAATCATGAAATTTCGAATAGTAATTTAATACTTAGGGTATTAACTGTATCTCAATTTAGCAATGTCATAAGTAATTATAATGATATAATATTATGTATAGTCAATTTAAAAAAATTGTACCTTTATTTTTTTCAGAAATTGTTAAAACTCCCTAATAATTGAGTTCATAAGGGTGTTTTATATTTTGAATCGTTTAAATTTTAATAGTATTTATCTATAATCAATAACATTAGGTATAAAACTATGACGTGTGATTTGAAAATTATGATGATGAATTACATGATTTGACTATACATTTGCATTTTTAGTAATATTTTTATATTAAAATTTAATTAGGTAGTTGACCAAGCCACCAAGGTAATTCATAACGCCTTGAGTTAAATGTTTAAAATAATCCATAGAGGGAGCTACTAACTCAAAACAAATCAAACGTGACGTTATGACGTCACATTATTATCATGATACTATACCACCGACTTGTCAAAACTTCGAACAACCGTAGTGTGTTTTATCAGCCAGTTTTATGTTCCCATCCTGCGTGTACGTTTTCAATGTTGTCGTTCTTGCGTGTTATGACTTTTTTGTGCTTAAATTTATCTATTAGTTGTTTTTAAACATAATTTTTTACAGTATTTACATATGTTAATACGTGTATGATATAATTCTAGAGTTTAGTGAAATTATTAAAATATCTGCTATGGTTATTAAACAATAATTTTTATTTTATATTTTATTATTATATTATATTCAAGACCTTAATTAGATACCAAATTCTGTTAATAAGTGTGTTTACCAAAAAAAATAATTCGACATATTTTACAAGATAAGACAAGCCAAAAAGAGTATGTCATTTATGATGGTTGACCGATTGCCTGTTCCTAAACTATCTACATATATTTCGGCTACGGTATTATCCATATCTGCAGCTACCTATTATTCAGTTAAATACAGTTTTGATGCATCACATGAATCAAATTCTAATGTCAAGATTAATGAAGATCCAACAAAAACTGATCCAATGGATGTATATTATGAACAAATGCTTAATGTGTTAGCATTTATGTTGCAAGATCCTTTATGTTTTTTGGTAAGTTAACATAATATTATTTGTTGAATAAATGTTATCACAAAAATTACTAATTAATAAATGTATTGATTTTTTTTTAAATTTTATATCTTAGTTAAATTATTTAATAATTCATATGTCATCTATCTAGTTAATTGTACCTAATACATTATACAGATTCTAGAATTTTTAAAATTAAGATTGAAAAAATAATAAATTATTCGTACCAATATGCTAGTTATTATTTAATGAAGCTTACTTCATTATAATGTGAAGTAATTATTAATTATAATTACCTTGACTAATCATTTATTATTTAATTCTAATTTATACTTATTGAGTGATCCAGTTAATTTCAATTTATTTTTTCATTTACTTAAATTAATAAATATTTTATACATTATTTACTGTAGTTTACTCTTGATAAATTACTTATAGGTTTATTTATTTATGGATTGAGAATGGCTGAATAATTGAGAATATTAAGATATAATTGAATTATATTTAAGAATATGAGCTAATCAAATATTAATATTTTCTACATAAATTATCACCTTCTGCTATGTGTCATGTGTATAGTTTTTTTAGAATTCCAACCATAATAATTTTTAGTTTACTAATAAATATTAGAAATGTAGAATATTAATAAAGTGTATTTGGTGTAAAATTCATCCAGTTAAAATTAGTTATTATTTGTAACTACTACCATAATAATGAATAAAAAAATTGATAAACTGATCTACCTATTTAATTAGGCATGAAATAATTTAAATTTTCAAGGTAAAGATAATTTATAAAAAAAATAAAGATGTTATCCTTAAAAATATTTGAATAATTAGCATTCTTGCCTTTATTTTTTAGACATTATTCAATTTCAATCTATAATCTATTTATGTACAGAGTTGACACTATAAATTAAACAATTTGCATTTTAGAAATGTGTTTTTCCATATTCTTATATTATTTTAGTTGAATTCTAACATCTTTGTTATTAAAGATTTGTATATCTGTATGATGTATTTTTTTTAGTAACGCAATATGTGCATTATAAATTTAAAAGTCATTATAATAATCTGAATAATCATCATTGAATTTTAGTTTCTTATTTACTACCAAAATAATTTATATATATTTCAAAACTATTTTGAAGTTTTTAAAAATATCGCTACACAATATGTTTGTTTTCGTCAAAAAAATTGTTTATAGTTTATTGGTTTAGGGGTTTTTGAAAATTAGTTGACTAAAATTATTCCACAAATAATGAAATCGAAAAATCGACTATCCTATAAATTATACAACTACGAACTAAAAACTATATTTTTAGTAAAACAAATTTATATCAAATTCGAAGTCCTAATACTTTCTAAATTAAAACAAAACTTTTCTTTTTTATTAAATAGAGTGTAATAAACTTTAAATATTGTATTTCCTTTAAAAAAATACTCAGATGTAAGGTTAAGGAAATAAAGATATCTAGGTATTTAATTAAATTTAAAAATTATATGTTTTGAATACGTTTGACTAACTTACTGGTTACTGGCCTCTGGGTGACCTTACTATTTTTGTTCCGTATCTAAATAACGAAGTAATCGGCAATATAATAATATGTAACTAAGAAGGACAGTAATAAACAATCATCTTCTTTAATAAAAATAGAACCATTAGAACCTGTTTTCTGTTATAATTTTAAATATTTAGCTAATTTTTTCGGGACTATAGAAGTACAATAATTAGCTATAATTTATAATATATTATACCATATATATTTTATTTAAGAAATTTATATATTTTTAATTAGTATATATATTAATATATGGGGTAAACCCAATGTTAATATTTAATTTTATTAGTAAATACTTTATGAATACTTGTTTAATTATTTACGAGGTTATTAATGAATCTCTTGAAATTTGTGTGTAAAAGAATTAAAGCGTCCAAAGCGCATTTATAGTCTTTTCTATTTCTACAAAATATACTGATTATTAATATTGTTATACCTTTTAGATCGAATAACAAAGAAATAATTCTGATTATTAATCACTTTTAATGATTATAAAATTGATTTAACCTTGAACTCTAAAAATAATATTATAATATCTTATGGAACCTATTAGGTCCATTAGTCATTGATCAATACCTTTAGTCTTTACCTTCAAATTATTTATTTACTTACAAGTTATACATTTTTTTTAAACGTAAAGATTTTAACTTAAATAATATTTAAGTATCATAATTTTACTTTATAGTAAATATTATAAATTGACTGGCGAAATTTGAACTCATTTCTCAGTATGTAGTCTTTTTTAAGAAACTTAAGTGATTTTAAAGAATATTACGAGTCATTATTTTTGTCTTTATTTATGAATTAACATATTTATTGGTGATATGTTTTATAAATTAATTTAAAAATCGATTATATAATATTTAATTAGTACAAAATTAAAATTCACCGTCTATAAAATTTCCACTTTTTTATGTAAATTTTTATTTCTGAAAAAATTATTAAATCACGTTTTAAATTCTATGTGAGGAAGCAATGAGTTAATTTAATTTTTACCCTGATTTTTTTTTTCTTATTTAGAAAAATGTTTCAATATTTGATATTGATTTCTGGTAACAAATTTAGTCTAGTTGGTATTTTAGGGGATCAAAGTTTTAAATTCGTAAAAAAAATTGACAAAAAACATCAGGAAAATAGGAATAACATTAATAAAGAATTTACATTTTCAATTCTACTTAAATATAATTTAAATTGTTAAAATATTTTTCATAAGAAAGTTAAACAAATATATAAAATTAAGTTATAGTTAATTACAGTAAATTATATAAATAATTTATTGTTAAGTAAATAAAGTTAAAAAAAAAAGCATATTTTGATAATATTTATATTTTTAATATCCATAAGTTTTCTTAGTAAACTTATTTAGACACAATTTATTCATAAAAAATTAATCATACTGTTATAAATGTTTGATATTTAAAAAAAAAAAAATACAAACCCATTTTGCATAATAAAAATTGTATAATCTATTTATTTATTTAATTTTATGTCATTTGGTAAATAACAAATCTGCTATTATCCAAAAGAATAATAAACATTAACGTGTGTTATAAATTATTTATGTTTATTATTCAAGATGAATATTATAATAGTTACAAGTTATATCTAAAATAATGATACTTATTCAGTAAAATTAAATTTTTTTCGTGACTTAGGTCAAGTTCCTAAGTCCATTAGCTCTTCACAATTAAATGTTAATTTATTTGTTACAACATAAAATGTTCAAATATATAATAATTGTTTACTAAGATTGTGTTAAAATTAAAATATTCTGTTAAAGCAAAAAAGTCCTTAGTTATAGTTTTACAAAAATTTAAAATGGTTAAAAATTAATAATCATAATAAATATATATTTTAACAAGAAATCGAAATATCTATATCAAGGTAAATTAATATAATTATATGAATATAATATTAATTCATTGATTAATATTTATAATATATATATAATATATTTTGTAGCTGCGTATTATAAAAAAATGTTTATAATTAAATAATGTTTAATGTTAGTTATTATTTTTTATTTATATTAGGTGTTAATAGGTATAATGATAATTTGTCAAAATTATAAATTAAACAATACACAAATGCCTAACTTAATGACTATCATTAAACAACCTTCTAATTTTAAAATAAATTGAGCGAGGAAACCAAAGTTACTTTTTATGTTAACTACATCATTTTTTTTGGCAGTACTCTAAAAATATCGTTATTATTATTATATTAAAAAAAAAAATTGTCTCAAATAGTAGATTAATTGTATGAAATTTAAATTAACAGAAGGGCAATGAAATATCTAGCACTTAAATAATTTTCGTCTAAATATATAATTTCGATAGACAAAACAATTTGGCGTTAATTTATGCAAGTGATATCGGAGAAGGTGTTAATGTAGGTATTTATTGGATGATTATAAACTATAAATATTATAATACGTAAAAATAATAAAATTATGCAATGTTACACATTATGATAAAAAGGTATTGAAATACCTACAAGTATTTTTTATGGTATTAATTCTATTTAGTATTTTTATTCTTGGAAAAAATTATCTTTGACTAGTTTAATGTAACAAAAGATAACCATAATTCATAATCTTTTTGCATAAATGAAACTTACAATTTTTTTTTTTTTAGTTTTTTATTCATGATATATACTTGATTACAATTGTAAAGTCAATTATTCGATTTTCCAGTGGTGTTTAGTGGTGTGATTGTTTTCAATAGTATTATTAATATCTTTTGTTTAGTTGAAGAAGTGTCCTGAAAATTTCAAGTACTTATTAATTTTAAAAATTATAATCTCAGGACTATAATTATAGTTAATAAAAATTCTTTTATAAAAATAGAAAAAGTAAATATGATATAAACATGTGTTGTAGATTGGCCATTCTAATAACTAAAAAATAAAAATGAATAACATTTTCTTTAATTATCAAAATATTTTTTATAAGTTTTTAAAGTTTGACTTATGGTTTAAGTGAAATTGAATATTTACAGTCAACGTAAATTTTAAATTAATAATTAAAATATATAAAGCAGATTGCAGTTGATAGAAATAATTATAATTTATATTGATCGAACAATTATTGCTTCGGCCTTTAGGTAATTTTTCGGAAAAATTTGGTCTCGATTCGTAAGAATGACTACAGTGAATTATCAATTTTTGTTGATTCGTCAAAATCAAAATGTTCCTACACATAATTTATTATTAATGAATTATGACTAGTTATTATTTAAATACCTAACACAAAGCAATAGCATATATTGACATGTGATCAATTCATAATACATTTATGATAATATTAAATTATATCAATATAGATACTGTCTATCATTCGATATTTTTCTTTTTATCTCTTAAATAATTTATTGTGGTGTTGACTTTAATAACTAAATCTCTGTACGACTGTACATTTACTTTACTTATTACCTACTTCATTTTAAATTAATTGTTGTTAATTCACTTGTTAGATTTTTTTATTGTTTTAATGTCTAATGAGAATTTGAACAAACTAATTTGTTTATAATTAATCATGGTTATATTTTGGGCATGTTGTGCTTTTTAAATTTTTAATTTGAAGATTTTATTAAGTTGATTTTTATAACTTTATTATAAAAGATACAACAGACACTAAATATTCTATTGATTTAAAATATACTGAAATTATTTATTTATTTAATATTAATAAATAATAATTTATTTACAGCAATGATTTTCAATCTAGAAACTTTAGAAGTATTTTATTATTGTTACAGCTTTTAGATATCAGATTATTTTGATAGTATCTATATTTTAACTATACTAATAAATAATAACTCGCAGTTTGATGAACTCTAATGTTAACTTTTTATAAAGAAGAGAAGTAAGTTTTACTGTTTAAGGTCAACTAGACACTATAGTCAATAAAAAATAAATTAATATCCTTGACATTATTAAACAATAAATATGCGAAAATCAGACATTGGACAAAAAATCGAGAGTAAAATAATTGTTTCTTTCATTATATCAAAATATCTTATTATTAGTAATATACTAATATGATTTGGATTTTATATGAAATCAAGAGGACCTTAGTAGCTCGACGCAAGATAGTGATGGTGCATTAATAATTTTAATACTATCGATAAAAATTAATTTTTTGAGGTATGGTTTTCACAAAAATATTGTATTTAAACCTAAACGAATCATCAATAAAATTTAGTAGAGGACGGTCAAAGTATTTAAAAACAACTGCTTTAAAACAATGCTCAGAATGTACCCAGCTAAGTATAATGGGTAATGCCTATTGCTTTCCGGGCGACCTACGCCCGATTTGATATTGTAATATCTGACCAGTAGTTATCAGGCTATTGTAATACCAATACAAAATGGTTTGATTATAAGTGCGAATTGGCAATTTTTAAAACAAGTTTTTCAAGAAAAAAATCGAATTTATGACTAATATTTGAATTTGAATATTTATCATTACTTCTTTGTTCACTTATTCATAAGTACTCATAACTATGTCTCATTAAAATTATATAAACATTAAATATTCATAAAAATAATTGTTAATATTCGTGTTGTTCATACTTATATAATCTAGATGTAGATTTATTGTGTTTATTACTAAATTGTTATTTGTTGTTGTTGACCTAGAAAAGTTATTTTTATGTTACTATTTTTGTAGTCTGTATATAAATATTTTTATTTTTTAATATTGTTTCGTTTGCACTTATTATGTTATTTGTATACATAATATTATGACATTATGTTAGGTATAGAGCTTAATTTAAATAAAAATAGTACCCAACATAAATTTATTTCATTTTCGTTCTAGATTTTGAGCAGAGCAATAATGTGTAGTTTTTAATTGCCTTTTTTAGTTTCAACTGCCATTGCCCAGTTTATTATAATAATTATTCTCCATAATAATTATTTATAGTTATTATTATTAGTTATTACTTATTACATTAATTTATTATCTTTACTGAAATATAATGGTACACAGTTCAGATAAATAACAATAATTACATAATATTAGCTCTTCTATTAACTTTGACAAGATGAATTGCTATTAATAACTTTTGGAATATATTTATATATCGATAAAAATAATAACATGATTTCATTTTTTCATCTCTGGTGTATATAAAAAATATTGTATTTACTATTTCAATTTAAAAAAAATAATTACAAATTCAGTTTTTTAAGATTAAATGTTGGTGTTGCTATACTAATTAATTTTTTAATAATATTTTTCAGGTTCTTTGTAACGGTGCAATTTGTAGCATAGTGATGATAGGCGCTGTTATACAGTCACTTGTTCTTGGTAGCTTAAGACCAGTAGAACATGTACAATTTCGCGAACGTCTATGGAACTGGGTTATTTACAAGTTCATTTTTATGTTTATAATCCTTAAAGCTTATACATTGGATAAAGTAGCTCTTTGGCTATTTTGGTATTCTACCTTAGGATTTCTTCATTTAATGACCAGTTTGTGTAAAGATCGATTTGAATATGTAAGTATATTATTACATTAATACTTTATTATTTTATGTTATTATCGAGATAAATTTTCTTAGATAATATTTACGACTACATTTTTAAAAGTTAAAAAGACGTACAGGCATACAGTTTAAGTTATATTAAAAATCTTTTATGTGTATTTCTATTAGTGAGTAATTTTTTAGGTAGTAAATAGGTTTTTTTAAAAGTGAATAAATAGCTAACCGCTCTGCTTTAGAGTGTAGGTATCGAGTATAATATTATATCGTCATTGAGTAAGTCATTATAATGAATATAATGTACATAATATTTAGAGGCTGTACTGGTAACGGAATTTGACAGTAAAAACATGTGTTCGTACAACTCATTTTCCTCAACCCTCGTTAGTCATAGAAACATAATTTTAACACAAAAAAAATTTGAGAAATTCTACTAGACAATTATATTCCAGATTTTTAAATTTTTTTTCTTATCGATTATATTTGTAATTAAAATTTTTTAATTCTTTAAAATTTTAAAAAAATAATCATTAAAACTTATGAACTTCCCAAACTTATTTTGGTAAAAAAATCATGTGTCTACGACATTTGAGGTCTGAAGAAAATAGGAAATACGGAAGCATGATTTTGGTAAGAAAAATTAGGAATTTATAGTCATCATATTATGCTGCTTTGCTAAGTGTAGCAACAGTGTTGGAGAACAATAATGTTCATAAACCCCGCTCACGACTTCAGCCATACTACACCAAAGATTAAAAATAATTTTCAATTTTTCATATCCTGGTTGAGCCACTTGCAGCTTATAAGTAATTTAATAGTTAATAAAAAAACAACAATGTTAACAACTGAATAATATTTGTTTTATTTTTTCCATAAAATCGATATCGAATTTTATATTTTATATATTATTATTCTGAACACCCATGTATTTTATTCAAATTAAAAACCTAACATCATAAAATTTTTATGATTAATTTAAAAGTACTACAATTTGAATAGTTATTTATTGATAAGTTTAATTTTATTAACGTTGAACAACAAAATATAATATTTAAACCGATATAACAAATAACACCTTAGATACATATGAATTAATAATAGCCTGTTGATGTTGAATAAAGTGATCAACATAATCAATGTACAATATGACTTGATAACTTATAATAATTTAATCAATAAATGACTTAAATCGCTAATTGCTAATTATATTATAATTGTTTATTTAAAACTGTCAAATACTATATTTATTTTTAATTTGTAAGTATATCTATTGTAATTTATTTATTTATTTATGAATAATACATTTTTATTATATAAACTAGTTATAAAAATAAAGATAATATATTAAGTATGATATTTTTTTTTATTTGAAAGAATATTTTTGGTGTTAAAAAGAATGTTAGAGGAATTAAAAAGGGATAACAGGCGATCACATCGTAGTGATAAATTGGGACAGGTGAAAATTAGGTAGGTAATGTTACAAACCATAGAAGAGTCATTGTGGAATGTGCATAGGGGGGAATCGTTCAATGAAAGCTTAAAATAATGAAAAAAAAGTATAATGTGTCCAAAACAGAGAGAGGAGAATGATACTATGCTTTTCCTAAAGTGATAAAGGTTGTAAAACCCGGGTAGTGTTCAGATAATTCTGTACCAAGTGGCGAAATGTAGAGGGAGTGATTCCTAGAGACCTAGTGTATAAACTAGTTGCAAATCCTAAAATTTGTGAATACAGTCATATCATGAAATTTTTTAACGCAATTTTCCAAGTTTGTCGTCGAATTCGTTTCACACAATATCAGTATGTCCTGGTATTCGTAAGAATTGAATTTTTATGCCTGATTCCATTAATACCTATATAAGAGCAGAAAGATGTGAATTAAAATCATCAAAAGAGAAAGGTTGAGTTAGTGGCGATGAAAAATTTATTTGGTGGTAAAGACGAGATTATATTGAGTGTTTCAAATGTAGTGAAGCATTTGTATGTGAATAATAATTCCGTGGGTGTTAGATTATTATAGAAAAAATGCGAAGTTCTTATATGTAAAGCGATTTTCCGGCTGGTAAGTGAATAACAGAGGCGTCCGTGAAAATAAGGATGAATAGTGGGAAAGTGTTATGGCTTACGAATAAAATATTGCTGACATAATTAGGTGGTGCAGATATTGGGCAATTACGTGTATAATTTAAGAAGTTTTTTTTAGGTAATTAATTGGGAAAAGTAGTAAAGACTGTGAGTTGATTTCGTATAGACGTATAGTGGAAACTTGTTTAATAATATAATTGCGTATGACTTCGAAAGAATGTGCTGAAAAGGAGAGAACTAGGAGAGTCTTTTAGACATAGCGCCAGGAGTAATAAATAAGAATTGAAAATAAAGAAAAAAAAATCAAAAATTTTAAATGTCTATAAATAACCTAAAAAATATTTAAAATACCATGTATAGAAAATTATAATATAAACATTAAGTGAAAATTTCAAGTAGTAATAGTAATTTCATAGTTAATTTTGTTTTTGAGTTTTAGTAAAATTAGAAATCCAATCTTGTTCAGTACTATTTTTTCATATAAATTTTAGTTTTTATAAGTTTTTAAAAAAATTTAGGAATTTTTATGTTAAAGTTAAAAATATAAACATTATTTCTACTCTAAATTTTTTTTTATTACTCATTATGTTTGATCTAAATTTATATTCCTTTTCAAATATTTACTTCTTGTAAAATATTAAAATTAACTAATTTAAATTTGCCATTAAAACTATATTATAATTCGAAATAAGTGTAGTTTTTATATATTGAGAACATACAGATGGCTGACAGTTAATTGAAATTTGAAATGTACATTTTCAGGCTATACATTTTATATTGTACACAGATTTATTATTCATAACAATTGTATTCATAACATTTGTAAATAGGTAAATAATTTTGCTTCTATTTGGGTTTGAAAAAAGCATAAAATACATAGGTAAGACATAACATCAGATTAATATCTTATATTTTGTACTAGAATCTGTTTTCTCTTATACTTACTTATCTATAGTATTTATTTTGTATATTGTTATTTGTTGTTACTCATTAATACATAAATATTTTTCCAAAAAGAAATAAATAATATTATTATTTATTAATAATTTATCTCATACTATAAGTTATGTTCGAATAATTTTTTGTTATCAATAAATTTAAAAAAAGAAAATAACATTGATTAATTTTACTTATTATTGATAACTATTTTAATCAGTATATATATAATTATTTATTATTGAACTTGTTACTTATTTTTAATAATTATTTAAAAATCATCATTTAACTATAAAATATTCATTTTTCTTCAATCAATACATTTTTATGAAATGCAATTGTAATCAATGTATAATTAATGTATCCATTTAATTTCCCCCCACCCAATCACTTTACCTTGCATAGTTGCATAATTGTGTCATTTAATATGATCTATATAATACTATCAATCAATAGAAAAAAATACATTTAAAGGCATTATAATTCAGATATCATTAGCTAAACTTTTAGTTTACTTTTATTGACACAGTAGAGAGAGTAAAATGGTTTAATCATTTAAAAATATTTTTTTTGCTTGAACTATTTTTAATTTATTTCTTTTTAAGGAATTTTATACTGATAATATTCAAGGAGTTCCCTTTTAATACTTAACACTTAAATGCCTACATGCTGTATATTTTCTATATAAGTGTGTTCTATTGATTATTAACACATGTATTCAATCATGTTTAGAGCATTTTTTGGCAATTGTACTAGTCAATGATCAATTAAGTAATAAAGCACAAAGTCTAATTATCCAAAAACAGATAGACATTTTAAGTCCCCCCCTCTCTGTGTTTAAAAGTTATCAATATAAATTATCAAATTTAAAAAGATTAAAAAAATTAACTTTAAAAAAAAAAAAGAATATTAAACTCTATAAATTTTTCATGTTTTTAGAAATTTTTTGAAGAAATTGAAAAATTTAATATGGTTTTTTCAGAATACTTAAAAAAAACAGTTAGATATTTAATCTTTTTTAATCATTTAACTATTACATAATCATATGAATAGTTGTAAAACTTGTGATATTTAATTTTTATATAGTTAAATAATTATATAAATTACTTTACAATGGTACAAGTTTAAAATTATATAATGCAATTATCATAATGTGATAACATGACATATTTCTGTTTATTTTATCTGTATTTAGTTAATTGATTTAAAAATTTGAATGTATTTGTTAACTTAAACCTTAAATAATTACAATTATAACAATTAAATTAATTATATACTGTTTATATAACGTAATAAAAATTGTATTGTAAAATATTAATCAATTTTTACAAATATTGATTTGAATTTGAAATTGAAACCACATGCCTTAGTTTAACATTAAATATTAACTATTATGCAGTATAACTCATAATCTGAATTACTTTTAAAAATATACTAAATTATCTGATTGTTTAATATATTTTCTTTGTCAATCTATACAGAAAATTAATGTAATATAAAATTGTGCATCACACTATAACAGTTCTGACTAATTTTGTAAAAATGAGTGAAAACTACAATACAATTTGTGGTGTGTGTGTGGGGAGGAACTCCTGATATTTTAGTCATTATGCTTATTAGTAAATATTGATTCAATTTTCTGAGTTTTTGATTAAATTAATATAATTATAGCCAGTTTTTTTAAATAATGATTTTAACTTTTGACTCTTAATTTATTTTAGAACATTGAATATTTTGTTAAACCTATTATATAATAATAAAAAATAATATTCAATAAAAACAATTGAAATAATATCAAACCTGTGGAGTAACAGTCCAATATGATGTCTACACTCTAAATGTTAAATACAAATTAATTTAACCAACCTGTAAATTAATTTCATACAGTTTTCATATCAGTCAAAATGTTATCAAAAAACAGTTTTTGGATTTCGACATGATATCTCCATTCTCCACCACACTTATTCTTTTATTTGTTTCTACTATTTGATTTTCATCAGAATTTTCATGATTGAAATTATATTTTTCTCTTAATGACTAATAGTCTCCTCATTGTAATTAACCGGAATTATACTTCCTTTTACTTTGAAAAAATGATTCACATCCCTTGGGATGAATAATTCCAATCAATATTCCAATGGGAGTACCCATTTTCTCTTTTTGAAAAACAATTTATTGATATATCTCTAGAAAGATTATACCTATTAATGATGGAGTTTTTGCTTTTTCCAGTAAAAACAGTTTAATTTATTGGAACTAAATGTTAACTACGATTTGTATCGATAAAAGAAACCTGTAGATGAATACAACCTTATCAGTAGGTAGACTAATATATTTTGTAGATCACATATTGGATCACTACCTAAAATTGTTTATGACAGTTTAGTGATTTATCAATCAGTTTGTAAATATTTAACCTAAAATAATTAAAATATATGTTTATAATGTTTATATTATTTAAAACATAATTTTTATCAAATATTTTACGTCTTATAAATCTTAATAAATATTATATTTTTACTTAATTGTTTTTCTTAGTAATTTATTACTATACAAAGTTTAATGAGTTTACTATTTTAAAATTGCATAACATTGCTTCGCATGAAATATACTATACATATAGTTATGAAAATTATAAATTGGTATCACTAAATTTAGTAATAAATAATGCCCAACATAAAAATATTTTTGTTTTTGACAAAAATAAAAAATGTTACATAATATGTGCTTATTGAATTATATTTGAATCTATACAAAGTTGTACTTAGTTAACTAATTTTTTAAAACAGAAATTATTTCTCTTGAAAAATAATGATTTTGTACATTTTATGTCAATTGACAATAAGTTTAATAGTAATTTTTTTCATGATACAAAATAAAATTGTGATTATAATTTATAATGTATTATTTTAATTAAATTCATCACAATTTAAAATTAAATAATAAAAATCATTTTTAAGGTATACTTTAATATATGTCTAAATTATTTTATTTAAATTTTTTTTTTTTATTTTACAACTATTAGATAAATTTTTTTGGATATAGTCTGTTAGTTTTTAACAATTTTGACCATTTTGTAGGAGGAAACTTTTATGAAGTGGTTTTTTTGTTGGCTTCTACGCAAGGTTTATTGATTAATAACTAAAGTTTTGATTCAAATAAAAAATAAAATTATGAGATTCACTGACAATATCAACCTTATATGTATAGACCATAGGTTCTTAACTGGGGGTCCGTAGATGGTTACTCGGGGGGTCTACCCAGAAATAAATTTCTTTTGATAGCGTCATTTCTCCTATAAGCGCCCAAATATTTATAACTGTTGTTTATGCCATGTTACTATGATTTAAAAAATCTAATTTGAAAATGCTTACATTAACTTATTTCTGTTTTTTCCTTAATTATGAATATTATGACATAAACATACTCATACATCTTACAATAAACATAATAAATTAGTTATTCTTATATTGAAACAATCAATATTATTATTTATATAGCTTAATATTATTTTATTTAATAATAATTATTAATTAATAAAATTAAAATAATAATAATAAAATAAAATTTTAAATTCAAAAAAGTCAGTTTTAAAATTAAACTCTAGTTTTTAAATTAAAATTAATTAATTTTTATTTTCCTGACATATACCTAACATATTAAAGAAGTATAGTTTTTATCATAAGATTCATAACTCATAACTTATAAGACATAAATTGAAATACTATATTATTGTTAAAATAAATAAAATATTTCTTTTTTATAGATGTGGATTTCTATGGGTACTGGAACTAGAGTGAACTGGAAATATATTCATATGTCTGTACTTTTATCTATTGGATTTATATTTTCTTTGTTGCTGTTAAATTTTGCATACCTTGTTGGCCTTACTTTATCAAAACATATATTTGCTTTTATGGTCATTGAGGTAATCATATTTTTTGTCATTAAAAAATTTATTTTTATTTTTTTAACATCATTACTTTTTACAGTGTTTGATGTTGGCTGGAAGTATTGTCCATATATTTCTTCGTCATTATATCCAACTTTTTCATCGTAATTCTATAAATCATACAACTAGTCCTGGTAAATTTATTTATTACTCCGAGTTAAGTTTGGATCTTGGTATACGTGTGATGGAGATCCTTCATTATTCTCATGCTATTATATGGACCAGTTCATATCTAACAATGGCTGGTTTTGTAATATTTATGCATATGAGACAACTGATCAGTGATATTCAAAAACGACTACAAAAACATAAAAATTTTCTTTGGGTTCATTCTCATCTAGAAAAAAAGTAAGTTATAGACTAACAAAGATAAAATTAAGATGTGTCTAATCAATTTCATATTTAGAAAAAATAACTTATTACACTATTGTGTAAATGAAATGATAGATCTTTCTATTTTTTATAATATTTTCTATAATTCCAATTTTTACATAATTTCCAGTCAAAATAAACAACATTTTCAAAAAAATACATATTTTTTGGAGTTTTTCGATATATAGAAATTAGTTTGTGAAACAATTTTATTAAATTTATGTGATTATGTGGAGAGATACTAGTTTACCCTAAAAAATGTTAGTCTGCTTAAATAAACCTAAAATACTTATAAATTATAACTTATAAACTTTTCATCCAAATTTCATAATATTTCAAAATATTCCAAAAATTATTCTACTTCAATCTTCAGAATATGAAATTAAAAGTATATGCTTTCATTCAAAAAAAATAATAATGAAAAATGTTGAAATAATTAATAAAACTTTTTCAACATTGTTTATAGATTTTAAATAATGACTGTTCAATAAAAGAATCCCTTAGTTTATCGTAGTAAAGTGTCATTATAATATTATATAAAAATAATAAGATTTTTAATTACATTTGTAACATTCAATGAGGGATAGAATTTTGTTAGGAGGTAATAAAAAATTAAATTTTAATTAAAAATAAAAAATCATGAATTTTTCATCTTTTTGCTGTATTAACTTAGTTAGTTGTATAAAAAATATATGTTAATATATTTTAATCAAAGAATAGGTTATAAAATATATAATATAGGTATTAACAATACCTATAATTAACAATATTCAATATTTTCTATTTTACTCACATAATTAATGTACATTACTCTTAATAATCAAACTATTTGTAAAGGATAAAATTCAAATGAACCTATACATAATAAAAATATTTACTTAAATTCTCAAAATTACTAGTTAAAATGAAATGGAAAAAGTTAGGGATACTATTGATCCACCTGTCACAATAGAAATAATTGATGAACAAAAAGTTTGAATAAATAATGTTTTAAGGTATTCCTATAAGAAAATGTATTAATATCTTAACTTAATTATTAGTTTTAAAAACATATATTTTAAATTAAGTCATTATAAAAAATTAAACAGTTAAAATGCTTAATGTATAAAAATTGCTAAATAATTACTTGATACTCTGTACTATAAGTTTTTTTTAATTTTTTAAAACCAAGTAAATTAAATGATATAAATTTACTTACAACTTGCCTATAGACTTAATACAATTTTACTTGTATAAAATATTTGACTTTCAATAGCAACTATCACTAAAAATATATGCAGTCATATTCTAAATTTTTCCAGTTTATTATTATTTATTGTGATAAATATTTGTTAATTATCAAATATTTTAGTTATCCTATGGCAACTGATGAAGAATTAGATACAAATTCCGATAACTGTGCTATTTGCTGGGAAAAAATGGATTCAGCAAGAAAATTGCCTTGTGGTCATCTGTTTCATAATGGATGTTTACAATCATGGATGGAACAAGAACCATCATGTCCAACATGCAGATTGTCATTAACCTTAGGTCATAATCAAAATATGCCAATAAATTCAACAAGTAATGGTGGTCAACAGACAATGGGTACTCATAATCACATTCCTTATCATTTTTTCCACTTTGATGGTAAGTTACAATGTTTGAATTTTCAGCAGTTAAAATTTAATTAAAAATTTAGGCACTAGTATTTTTTTGATGTTTTAATTTTCGATTTTTAATTTTATTTTATAAATTGGTATTTATTAAAAATAATAAATTTATTTTAGAATTAAAAAATAACTAATGAAGACAAATTAAAAAACAAAAAAAACTATTTATTAAAAATATACATTTGTTTGATTCTGTATTTAAAGGATCTAGATATTTATCATGGTTACCAAGTTTTTCTGTTGAAGTAACACATACTATAAGACCTACAAGTCAAATACACACTTCACAAATAGATACAATGGCTCGACAGGTAAAATTTGTTTATAAAAAATGTTTCAATAATATAATCCATTTATTATATATATTAGGTTTTACAATTGTTTCCACACTTCACTATGCATTCAATTATTGAAGATTTATCAACTACTCGTTCTGTTGATTTAACTATTGATAACATATTAGAAGGCAGACTGGTAGCACCTCAACAATTTATTGAAGAAGAACCTGTTATTGTCGAAACTATACCAATTGTTAATACTGTTGAACAAATTATCAATACACCTGCTCCTGCTAGGTAAATTAATTTTGCAAAATGTTTATTATTATACATAACACATCAATACTTGTTATACAAATTCTTTTTAATATGTATATTTAGGATATCTATTAGCATAATTCCTATCCATGAGACTTGTGTTATCAGAAATCTTTTATGTTTATTTATATTAACTTATATGTATTTTTATTCTAGTTTTAACACAATTACTAGTGAACCCACCATAGATGGACTTATGAGTATGGGTAGCCAGTTTTCTAAGTCACCCGATGAAAGAGAAAATATGTTGAGAGCTCGAAAACAAGCAATGATAATGAAAGCTAGGCAAAGGTACATGAGCAAAGATGGAGATGGTTCATCAAAAACTGACTAATAATAGCATTGTAAAGACACACGCTTGCACATATACACTCACACAAAAGAAAGCTAAGACTGTGATTAGAAACCCATTATTTGATTTTAATTTAAGGATTTAATATAATTTTTTGTATAAAATAATATACACAAGATTCAGGATCTTAGTGTCCAAAATTTCAAACTATATAAATGTCCAAGATAATTATTTATCCAAGTAATTAAAATGTCCTCATAAGTATATTTAAAATACAGATATAAATATGATACCTATTAGAAGAAAATCAGTATCTAGACAAGTGAGCATTTTGACGGCTATAAGTTCTATATGCTTGAAAAAAGATAGATCATCATTAAATGTTTGATAAAAATTTTCTTTACGCTATTAAAAAAATGATACTTTCATGCAAACTTATTTTCTTTAAACTAGAATTAAATTATACATACACTTTGAATTAAAAATATCTCTTTCTGTATATATATATATATATATATACAATATACATTTATATTGTATAATTGACAAAACTTAGAACTTTTATTAATCAGATTTATATTTGGGTTATTATACATTTTTATCCTTGCTGATATCTTTGCTTTTGGATTTTTAGTATAGATATAGTTTTACCATTAATTTACATATTTAAATTTCTAATTTAAAACTTAATGTATAAATAATTCCTAAGAAATATCAAGTTATGAACATTGGCTTTCTGGCTCTGACTTTATGAATGTAATATGCCCCATATTGACTATTCATTGAGAAAATTATTCTGTTTTTATTACTACAATTGTGATTTAAGTCCCACCTGAGGTTATTTTATAATATAAAATATTTTCAATAGGTTGAAATTTTGTTAAACTTATTATATTTTCATTTATCAATTAAAATTGGGAAAATTAAATTCTTAATTGTAATAATTGATATAAAAAACATTGAAAAATTGCTCAGCATAATTTAGTTTCAATAAATATGTCATGTTGATTAATTTAATGGGACAATTATATATGTATTGGGCTTACAACTGTTATCAGTTTTGAGTTTGCCATTACAATTTTAAGTTTGAGATTGAATGATTTCTACTGTAAAATATAATAGTTATTGTTATCAATAATTAAATCTTACCCATTTACATAATGTTGGTAAAGTATTTTGTTTTGAGTTAATTTCTTTTTTTATAAATGGAATATTTGTCACAATATTCAGAAGATATAATATTTATCTAAATTTTATTATAAAATTTAGATTTTTTTTTTTAATATATAGATTGACAAGCACCACAAATATTTAGACAACCTATTTATGTTGGAAAAGTATATTTTGATTGTTTTTAAAAATTTCACAAAACCAATAGAAAAAACAAATATATTATATTTTTGTTTTAAATATATTTTTAATATTTTCATAATCAACTTAAGAAAGAAACCTTAGATTATAGTTAATTAAGTTTACACATGAAAAAAAATCATGATGTAAATATTACAAACCTTTTTAAAACATTTATTAATTGAACACTCTTCAAATATTTTTTTTTACATGGTATAAATATATGAGTTTTTTTTTCTTATTAATACATTAATACATTTATAAGAAATATGTTTACTTTTATGGATTATTTGTAATTAAATTGAAGGTATTATATAAAGCCAAGAACTGTCATGTAAATTAATGTAATGTATATTTTAAACATTTATTATTTTGTGATAAACCTTATTAGAAGACTTTGCACTTCTTATCACCACTACATTTTAATAAAATTATTTTATGTACTTAAGTAAGTAATTGTATTGACAAAATTGTGTTAATATTCAGATCCTAGTCAAATTGTAAGTCCTATAACATAAGTTTAAATATTTTAATTAATTGATTAGTATGGATTTTAGTATATAATATAATAATATAAATTAAATAAGTAAAAATTATATTATTATTTTTGATGAATAAAAAAATATGTGGTATGAGTATAAATTTTATTTATTAAATCCTTTATTTACACAAAATATTAAAAAAAAAAAAAAAAATGGAGCAATAAAATACATTTTAATTTTAACCTGAATGTTGAATTTAACTTTTTAACCTATAAAGTTTACAATAGTTAAGTGAAGTACAATATGTGCAAAAATAAAATCAGCAAATCCACGTTCTGGACTTATATCACTGAATTGTGCTTTGTTTTGTGGATTTGCTTGTAATCGCAGACATACTGAAACAAAAAATATTAAAATAACTAGTAAATATATTATTTAAATAATTATTAAATAGACAAAATAATTTGAAGTAATGACATCAAATATTTCTATTAAAAATAAATAATTCTTTGATTAGAATCATATTAATTTAAATAAATATCTTACAAACTTAATTAAAAAAAATGTCATGTTAAAAAATTGTATATAATTAATATAACAGTTATTATACAAAACTAATCACTAAAAAATAAATACTACTATTAATTATTTATATTAACACATAGTTGACATGCAGTAACTCATTTTGTATTATGTCTTAATTGAAAAGCTATAGTTGTATAAATTTGAAAATTGTATTATTCATAACAGTGATTCCCAACCTTTTGGTAATGGCGAGTGGCGACCAATAAATTTACTATTGTTTACTACTTGTTGATTGAGCGACCCATCCCCCACTAACACTAAAAAAAAAATGTATAATGTACTAAACTGCCTGACAAAACTGGTTGACTGGTACCACCGTATATGGTTTTATAAACAATAAATTTATCCATTAGCAAAATTAAAACTTAATAAACATTATATAAAATTTGAATATATAAAAATGAGTGTCTAATTGTAAACTAAAACTTTTCATTTGTACCTACTCTCGTAGTCTCTATGTACTGCTTATAGCTCAATTGTATGGAAAATTAACCGATGCCACAACAACAGTCATTAATGCGTACACCAATAAAATAAAAATATAATACAAACTTTACTATATATATATATATATATTAATATCTATATAGTAGAATCTACAATACTAAAGACATTTCACATTATTATTCTTTATTATATGTAAAGGTATCAAATAAAACATAAATTAGACATTTATAAACTTTCTGTTAAAATTATTTTCATAAATATATATTTTAATTATAGATAGGGACTGGCGACCCATAGATTGGGAAACACTGTACTATAACATTAAATCTTCCAATTTTACATATGTAGATGGGCGCCTGTAAGACTAACCACAGTGGTCACTAGCATGCGCATGTAAAGTTATCAGTGGCATCAAAGATGTTAAAAATTCAAGTGAGATTATTGAAACTTTGAAGTTTCAACAAAGAATTATTGGATACTTAACGGATAAAGGTACAAAGAACATTTGTTAGATAATGTCTATAGTCTGAAAATAACTGATTAACAGATAAAACATGTATTGTCAAAATATAATGTTAAAAATGAATATAGTAGTCAAAAACTAAGTAATATTTATGAAGGCAGGAGATGTTATTACTTACCACCGAGTACAAAACAGCTAACTGATGAAATAAAACCACTGAGAAACGAGTTGAACGGAAATGTGCCTACTAAACAACAGTATGCAAACTGTACGATTCCAGTCAACATTATGTACAATAAATAAGCATCGATTATCTTAAGTTTTTTAGGTGTTGTCTTCGTATAATCATCATAAAACTTTGAAACGATTCCTAAAATTTTAGCCATTTTTCGACACTGTTGGTTTTTTTTTTAATAATACACTAATATGAATTAATTGTAATTGACTGTCGTTAAACAGTAGACAAGTAGACCAGCCGAAAGTCAACAACAACAATTAATAATTGACATTTAATAACAAGACAAGACCCGGAAAACAGTTAAAAGATCTTCAATGATTTCAATAGTGTTTATAACTACTGAAGTACTGAACCACTATCATCTACGTGGTCGAAGAGTTATCACTAAGAAATCGGAATAATCAAAAATGAATACGTGTTATCAACAACAATTTCGCCGGTTCATGGACAAAACCATAGACCTAATATAATTTACTGACGTCGATTGGAAACAGTGGAAACCAGTAACCACAAGCTGCGCGATCTAACAATGAGCGTGGATCTAAGAATAAAAACGGAACACGTATTTTAAGTAACAAGATAACCGCCCCAATTTTACTATTTATTTCATTTTTTCGACGTCATATTGGTTTCTTGTTTATTCTTAACTATAAAAAAAAAATAATACATATACATGTCAATACGTAACTCTACCGAATCTACCGTTCACCAGTTCGCGTATGCAATTTTACAATTATAGTCACAGTTTACAAATCGAGTAAAAAACCATAGTATATTAGGTACCTACTAACCTATCTATGTGATATTATAATGGTCATCACTTCGATGATGTATTGGGTTCTTATGTGAAAGACGATAAATTATATCAGAACAAAATAATAAATAAAAATTCAAAGACCTTAATATGCCTGAACATCGTAGGCGCAAATAACGGGGGGAAGGCTAGGGAGGTTAAGCCCCCTAATTTCTGTAGCCGCCCCCCCCTTATTAATCGAGCCTAGCGAGCAAAAATATTTTAAGGTGTTTGGGAATTTGGGATGGATTTTGATTTCAGCCTCTTTAAACTTCAAACTCTATTTGCGCCTGTACAGTGAAAATCTACAACGCGTTGTCATACCAATAACGACATCGATTTAATACAATTATAGATTATACCGACGTTAAAATGCGGTTGAATCCAATGAATCCCACATTTTATGCTCTATAGCAGCCAGTAGGGATGTGCAACTCAAAATTATTACAAAAGGGCCAATTTTTAGAAAATTAAAAATCTAGCGGCCAGAGCATATAGAAAGCAAAAAAAAATAAGTCATTTCAAATATGCAATTCAATTAGCTTTTATTTTGTTTATACTGTGAATTTTTAACTTTAAACCAGATAAAAAAGGCTTACGGATCACCAGTTGCCCCTATCCCTGATATAGATCATAAACGATGCGTTACCTACGATGTATACACCGTATATGCGCGGTTAGATTCTTATTATTATATTGGAGTCAATAAGAGAATGTATCTAACTTGTAGCACTTTTGCTTTCTTCACAGCACTAGTGCTGGCTTACTTGTTACTGGTAGTGTTTCAACATTTTAACATCTAATATATGTAGCTAGATGCATTATTAAAATATTGAGTTAGTACATTTTTTAATTTTTTACTTACCATATCGATTTTAATTTAATGGGTAATATAATTTATTACTTTAATTAATACAATATTATCTAAACGACCACATAAATCCATGATAGCCGATAGGCCACCAACGGCACTAACTGACTAACTATATTTATTATTATTATATTCATAACAAGTTAGATTGTATCTATTATTGTATAAATAAAATAATAAACGGCAAAAATTAAACTTCATAAAAATAGGAAATTATAGAATGTCTTTTAAGTTTTACTTTCTTATATAGTATATCGATTGGATGACCTTTTGTTCGTATTTTTCGAAGATATCTGGAATAGGTACTTAAGAATTCTCAAATGTCATCAAAAAATAAAATTTAAATCCTTTAAACTTGTATATTTTCATTTTTGATAAATTTCTAATGTTTTATGTTATTTATGCATCGTATTACAATAATACATTTTTAAGACGTTGCAAGTTGTGACCTAGATACGTGTATAAAAGTTTCGATATGAATATAAGTAGGTATATAATATTATGATACGATGAAATATGTTTATTATTCAAAAATGTAATCAATTAATATAGAAAATATAGTTAATAAAAAATATGTTAAAATTATTTTTGCTTATACCTATTTGTATTGGAGTAAATAGATAACTAAATGAAATGGAATGTCAACTATTTTTGTGAGTAATTTTGATACAATTCAAAATTGTCATGTTGTGTATATATCATATAAGACCATAATCCATAAAAGATAATAATAAATGTTCTCGAACTTATGTTTTATAAAAACCTTAAATATCAAGATATTTGAACAGTATGAAGTTCATTGGAAATTAATACTCAAAATCTAACATTTTGAGAAAAATCAAGTTTGAATATCTTAAAGATGATATTTATTTTAGTTATTGAGTACTGGATAAAATGCATTTATAATAAATATAATATAATCTAGCAAGCATCTTAAGTTTTTCAAATAATAAATTTGTATTTGTTCTAGAAGAGTAGGAAAACTTGAGTGAATCAAGTTTAAAGCATAAAAACTGTTGTAATTTACTACAATAGACTATTGTTAGTAGGTCGTACGTGGTATACATAATACGTACTTGTAATTAATTTATTATAAATTTTAAAATAACGTACATAAATTTGAATTTTAAAATAAGTCAATTAATTTTATATACCATATTATTGAGATTTTAAAGATTTTTTGAATTCAACGTTGGCTCAACTGATATTTTAAAAATCGAATTGCTGTTATCACGTTTTAAGAAGGAGTTTTGAGATAAACTCTGACACACTACAACTACTCGTTGATCGGTTTTTTTAATGAAGGTCCCGCGCGACTGACAGCTTACCTGGTAACCGGTATTGATCAAGCTACCGCAAAAAGAAAAAATTAGTCATCGGTAGTCGTCGTCGTCGCCGAGCCTGTCATCGCGGATCCCGAGGTGATTCGTCGAGTGGGAAAATTCCGATTTTTTCGTTTGTTTTTTTTTTTTTTTTAATTAATATTTAGTAACCAATATCATCTTCTGTTAGCGCGTGCTACGATCAAGAATTCGGGACGCTCAGTCACGACTAACGTTCGTCCGTCAGTCGTTACACAGTTTTGTGATCACTACTCCCTGTTTTAGTCACTTAGTCTGATTGAGGCTATAGCACTTCGAGCATACGGACAACTATTGAGAAATCGTACTCGCGGCGAACACCGATCAAAAGATAAATAAGTCACAGTACAAAACCAGACGACAACTGCATTCGACGGCATCGTCGTTTCTGCAGGTAAGTGCTCAACATTTCGTTCTCGTCATTATTCGATCGTCCGTTTTCATAATGCCGTGTACTGAGTAGGCGTCGATTGATTGCAATTCATCTTTGCTATCGTTTTAACGGCAACTTCGCCTTATATAGCAATCGGGCACGGTCAGTGTACCTCCCCGCGGGTGCCCTATGACGTGACCTTAATCGTAAGTTGTAACCGCGTTTACCGCACACTGTGTATAAAATATAAACCCTACCCATTATCCCACGTATTATTGGTGGGGATGGCGAAGCTGTTCGCCGATTCCCGCGCGTTACGCATACCGCAAAAGTCGTGATTTTTTTAGTAAAAAATCATTTCTTTAAGTATCTATGCCCTCGAATTTATTCCCCAGTGGTCTAGACTCCTGACGTGTGATAACGTTTTTCACGTTGATAGAGGGGTGGGTACTGTGAAGCATTTAATTTTCTTGTTGTATAACACTGGTGACCAACCGGCGACCATACCAAAATTTGAATCAGTGGCCGTTGCGCAACGGTCAATTTCCTCCCGTTTCGAGCCAAAAAGGTTTGATGAACGTGATACAGTGAAATTTTATCATGCGTGTGTGCATTGTTTGATTAGTTGACCGATTCGAACACTTGTCACTTTCCAACGTTCAATATTTCGCCGTTTAACTTCCACCGCCTGTCTTGCCGTTGATCGTCGCCCGTCATCTCAGCACACCCATCTATAGACGTTCCTTTTATTATTATTACTATTAACTATTATCATAATTTATCATTATTATCATCATGATCGCTATCGTAGTCGCCGTTACACTATAGGTAGTTACTACTCGTTTTAACCTTAAATCTATCGTATGCCGTTTTTCAAGGTTTTCCCGATTAGTTTGTCACCCGCAATTCGCATTACCTCCTAATCGGCAGATTGTTTCACTTAGTAGTGCTTATATGGTAATATTTTGTTTGTCGTCAATTAATATTTATAACGCTGACGATTGTAGTCAGTCGTCACCACTCACCATATTTTGTATTCAATAATAACTACGTTATCACGTTCACTAATAATTACTCGTTTTACGCTGTTCCAGTACCTAATTAACGCAAGTACCGTACATTTTCATAAATTATATTATTAAAAACCGTTAGATGCTACATGACACATTTTCTGAAATCATTATTAATGTAATTTAAAGTTAAAAATAAATTGTGTTTTTATATAGGTACTATTGTTTTTTGTATTAAATGGAAATGCAAAAAGTGCTCTTCTATATTAAATTGATATTTATTCAATAAAATAAAATATATCTATATATTTTAGTTATGTCTGTATAATGAAGATACAATTGTATTCATAAATTTAAATTTAAATTTATAATTCTTTTATTTTATATATTTACCTACTTAAAATAAAAAATTGATTTATTAACAGTTATTATATTGAGATTAATTTTTAAACAAAATTTATATGACAAATGTTAAAAAACTGAATTACTAAAAGATAATATTCAGTCATGTATTATAACTAATAATATTTAAAAAACCAATAAATTATACAATAAAAATGATTTAATCTGTAAAAATAATAGTTACTTATTTATAATAGGTACCCATTAAAATGACTGGTGGGAATTTAGTATTAAAACTATCTTAGATCTCCTTCTTAAATATTTTAAACTGCTTAATATTTTTATAGCAGTTAATTATAACATTAATGTGAGATCATTATTATAATGTGTTATCAATAAACCTTAAAGAAGTTATATTTGCCTATATTTTATTTTATATATAAGTACTTAAAACTTTTCAACAATTGTATGTAAATTATGTTTCCTACTATTCTTTATTATTATTTAAATAATATTTGTATTATTTTAGAATCTCAATAAAATATGGCTATAAATGTGTATTCAACTAATGTGACATCTGATAACCTAAGTCGTCATGACATGTTAGCATGGGTAAACGATACTCTTTCTGCAAGTTTTACAAAAATAGAAGAACTATGTTCAGGAGCTGCTTATTGTCAATTTATGGATATGTTATTCCCTGGTAAGTTATAAATTAAATAATTTATATTATTTAAATGTATAAATAATAATATTACCTATAAGACATACAGGTACATTTAATGATTCAATTTTTTCCCTGTGTTACATATCTAATGTATTAATGAGTATTTATTAAATGTAAATTGAAATTTACAGGGTTTATTAAATAGTAAAATCTAAATGTTTCGTTTCATATCAATTAATATGCTCTACCAATTATATGTCTAATGAACCAATTTTTAGATTAAGTTTTATATTAGCGCTATTTTATTCAAATTTTGATTTGAATATAACATTTTTTATAATAACATTTGATGAATTAGTTACTTTACGTCAAAATAATAAGTCCATAAGTCTTATGATCAAATTAGTCTTACCTAAATAGGCAAACCTTTAAAGAAATCCATTAATTTAAATATTTTAATAAAAATTAAACTAAATTATAAAATATTACAAGTATTTAAAGTACATTTTGTTTTGTAAAATATGATTCTAATAGTATCCTAAAATATAATGAATTTTTTCTGTGAATATGTAGACATATTTTTTTTTACATTAAAATAATTCTTTACTTATGTCTTGTATCTAATGTACAAAAGTTCCATTTTTTTTTTTTTAATTTAAAATGTATCATTGAAAACAATGAGTATAATAACAGATCAGTATCTGATACTAATATCAATCAAAATAATAATTTCTTTTTTTAATTACTGATTTCTACTATATAATTGTAACAAACTAACTTTTATTATTGTTTCTTTCATTTATTATAGAATATAAATTTGACCTTCGTAGCATTATAAACTTGTCTCTAAACTTAGAATGTGTATTTGTACTTTTTTAAATCTAGTTCATTATTAAAACCATCATCTAGTACTTAAATGTATTATTCTTTAATGAATAATTATAGCTGTAGTATATTTATGTAGTTATAGTTTATATTATTATTTATAAAAAAACAATGTACGATACATAGTCATATAAAATAGTTTTATGATTCCAGATTGTATCAACTTTTTATGAAAATGATTAATAAATTTAATTGTCATTATTATTGATTTATAGGTAGTGTGCAAATGAAACGAGTAAAGTTTAGAACAAATCTTGAACATGAATATATACAAAATTTTAAAATACTCCAAGGAGCTTTTAAAAAGATGTCAGTTGACAAGGTATGTTTGATAATTCAAATTGTTAAATATAATATAGTCAATAACAATATTAATATTTAAATGTGTATCTTATTAAGAATTAAAACAAGTCTATATTTTAAAGTTAGAGAGTAAACTTGGATATTAACAATATTCTACATTTTTATTAATTGTAATTTAATAACAAACCGTGTGTCAGTTATATTACGTTGGGTATTCTATTTATGGGTTTTGTATTTACCCACAATTGGGATGGTAAAAAATTACTTTGCAGGTGATACCTGTTGACCGCTTAATCAAAGGACGCTTCCAAGACAATTTTGAATTTTTACAATGGTTCAAAAAGTTCTTTGATGCTAATTATGATGGACGTGATTATGATGGCCTTGATGCACGTGGTGGCGTTATGATTGGCTCTGGTGCAGCAGAAGTTTGTGGTTTTCAAGCACCTCCCCCATATCGTGTACCACAAGCGGCTCGTGCTTATAAAAGCCCGTCTTATGGACATGGTATTCATACATGCTCGGATTTTTGTGTGTTTATTAGTTAGGATAATATAATCAGTAAACATTCAAAATTTAGTTTTTTTTTTTTTTCATAAAGATAAAAATTAATTATTTATTTATTTCAAATACTTGCATGTCAATTTAATATGATAATGTTTTTTATTAGTTTTGATTTACAAAATTGATAATAGCGTTATCAATTTTATAAATTGTATCATCATAGTTAAATCATATTTTAGTTAATGATATTTAAAGATTTTTTTTATTTGATAATATTATTTTTATTATTATTATCATTGATTTTCTTATTTTAGATTTAAAATACTTATTTTTTTTTTTTTTTTTTTAGTGGGATTAAATATTACGTGGTATATTATAATTAAATCAAAAATATAGATAACATACTGTTTACTATATTTTGAGAACCTTTTATAATTTTAATAAGAATTGTATTTAATTTTATTCTTAAAATCAAAAAATGAATTAGGTACATGATTTTTAAAAATATTTTATGATATTAAGACACTAAGTCAAATTGATATTAATCAACTTAAAAAAATAATTAAATAGTTTTCCATAATTTTGTTCTCATGATATATCTAAAATACCTGTAAATCTTAAAAATATTATTGTTGTGCTCTTTAAGATTAAATAATTTATGTATTTTAATTGTGACATTTTGTTTTAAAATTTTTGGTTACCAATTTCCTTGTCTGCAGTTAAAAATCATAATTTTAATAATTTTTAAAATACATCAGTTATTTTTTTTTGTGTATATTATTGTTGGGATTGAAAATTTGTGAAAAAAGCCTAACAAGTTAAAAAAATAGTTTTAATTAATTATTATTATTTTTTAGTTACTTATTATTATTTTTAATCTCATCATTTTTGTTTTATTTTTATTTTGCAGATAGTACCTATAGATAGGCTGGTCAAGGGGCGTTTTCAGGATAATTTCGAGTTTTTGCAATGGTTCAAAAAGTTTTTTGACACCAATTACCAAATGAATGATTACGACCCAGTAGGTGCGCGCAGTGGTGAGGGAATGGGAGCAGCCGGTGCAGCAGCCAGAGCAGGTCCTGTCAAAAAACCATCGGCAGCAGTACCGCCTAGAAATGCCACCTCCCAAAATCGTTTATTCCGTCCCGCGAGTAACAGTAATAGTTCGTATTTTTAACTCGAAATTATCCCAATTTCCCTGTATTATGCTTTTTTGGCTTGATTTTAATTTATATATATTTAATTGATAACATATTAAATGTTTTAATATAATGTATTTTTTAATTTATTGAAATTGTTCTTAGTGTCTAATCGTGTACCCTCAACAAGATCAGTAGCACCAGCCAGTCAGCGTGATAGAGGCGATCATAAAATTGATGAACTTACTAGACAGGCAAGTTCAGTCTTAATATAGTTGTACTTTATTACAACAATTCATTGTATTTAATTATTTTAGATGAGTGAATTGAGAGTTACAGTTGAGGGTTTGGAAAAAGAACGTGATTTCTATTTTGGTAAATTGCGTGACATTGAGGTGATATGCCAGGAACAAGAAAGTGAACATCCATTATTCTCTAAAGTATTGGAAATTCTTTATGCAACTGAGGTATGTGTGTAAATGGATTTTTATATTCTAAAAATAATTGATAATGAATATTATTATGAAAAAATGTATGTTTCGTATATTTTTTATATATTAATTAAATTATATACTTAGGATTTATTTCTTCTATATTTGTGTTAATAATTTATAATACATTATCATTATAAATAACTAAATTATTCACTAGTAGGTTTTTAAGGAATTTTTTTGGCTAGTACTCAATTATTTTGTTAAAGACATTTAGTGCTTATTATTGGCTAAAATCATTAGTCACTGAACATACCAAAAATATATTTAACTTAACAATTTTATTCTAATTTAAACTACTAGACGCAATGCAATGAAATGTTTAAGTACAATTTTTAACAATTGAACCTAACAAGTTAACATTTGTAAAGAATATATTAAAATTGAACTAAAATGTAATGATTCATTGATTTACTAACATAATAAAATGCTATATCTACTTGTAATGTTAAGTAACACCAATCAATATCAAATTTATAAAAATATTGTTAATATTCAAACTATAGTAATTACCATACATTTTATTTGATTATATTCTATCATATCATTTACTTATGCTTAGTTGTATAGATTGTAAATTTAAGCATTTATCAAAAAATTTAAAAATACCAACCAGTAATAAAATAAATAACATAATAATGATTTTTAAATTTGGATATTTACTAAAATATCTGTTATTATAACCATTTTTAAGTTTTCTTGAAGTTATTTAAATAGTGATATAAAGGTTTTACAATAAAAATAATTACTATTAAATTAAACTTACCTGCTTTTACAAGAAACAATTTTACATAATAAGATGTATTTCTTTGTTGAGTAAAGCATTCAATGCTTTCATTATATATATTAATAGTTGAAATAGTTCCTATGCGTCTAGCAGAACATTTCTTAATTTTACTAATTTCATAAAATATAACTATAAACAATACTGCTCTAATGAAAATTATAATTTATTTTATTTAGGAAGGATTTGCTGCTCCAGAAGAGGTTGATACTAACAACCATGATGATGATGAAGCTTACTAATAGAGTCTTTTATTTAATTTTTTTTTTTACTTAATTATGATTTTTTTTAATGATATTTATTATATTTTACAGTACGCTATATAATAAACTGCTAAAAGCACATGTTCAAAATTGTGTACAGTCTTTTTTTTCTTTATAATAATATTTTAATTATTTAAAGATGACTGTTGTTATAGCTCAACTTATTTAAACGGCCCATCCATTATAAAATAAATATCAATGAAGATTAATATTTTTATTTATATAATTTTTAATTTAATAAAATTGTCTGTTAATTACTCAACAATAAAAATTATTAAAAAAGAAAAAAGTAAATGATGTTTTGTATTATGCATTTTTTTTATATTTATAACATGATACTTACAATACATATTTTGTTAAATTATTATTAAGTACCTTAAATTGGAATTTATGTATGAACAAATATAAAATACTTTAACATTGGTCTGTATTGGAAAAAAATTAAAATACTAATGGTTTTATAAAAGATAAATTTAAACAAATTTTTAAATGTAAACTGTTATCATAACAACGATAATTGTTCTCTTAAATCATCTACACTTAATTCGGTTTCTTTCACTAAGGATTCTTCATTTGGAGCTGTTTGATCAGCAGATTGGTAAGCGAATTCTATTCCATCGTTCAGCGATACATATTCTTCTTCACTTTTAATACTATTATTTTTAACGTTTTCAGTTTCTGATGTTTCAACGGGTTCTGCTATATTATTTGATACTAATGATTCATCTTCTGCTAATGATATTCCTTTAATATTTATTTTAATTAGTAAGAACCAAATTGTAATTAGTTGTGATATGGTATATTGTATAATATATTTAAATACTAACCCCATTCATTATTTTCATGAATAACTACATCTTCGAGCGGATTTACATTTGTGCATTCAGGTTCCTCTTTTACTCTATTTTTAAATTCTGATTGTTGCTTTATACAGAAATTATCACTACAATTAGGATTTGGTTTAATCATCATGCTTGGAAAAAAATCAGATAAAGCATTATATCCTAAATACCATGAAACTGTTCCAAAACCTAACAATTTCCTAGAAAAAAAAAATATATATTGAAAAATATTAACACATTAATAAAATGATAAAAATTACTTTAATGTATTTTGAACAAGCAATCCTGCAACTACACCCATTGTAGTCGGTAAACTCGCTGCACAAACTCCATCCTTTTTTAATGTTTTTTCATCTATTTCTGAAGCCACAACCAATGGAGGTGCACACTAGAAATTATAGTAAAATAATACAATGAATGAATATCTTCATGATTACTTAATGAAACAGGAGATATATATATAAATACAAAAATGTCAACACAAGTTTCTCTTTGGTATTTGAAAAATATATTACCGCAAAGCAAGCAGATTCTCCTGGCACAATATACTGAATATGTCCACACACAGCATTTTCACTAACACCTGATTCAAACCATTTTAATCCTAATTCATTGCATGCTGAATTAATTGTCATTCGAGCTTCGTAATTGTCTACACAGCTCAATACCAAATCGACTCGTTCACCATTAATTCCGCCAGTACTATTTAAAAACAACATAATTATTGGTTAATATTTTTATACCATAAATAAATATTATTTGAGTCACACTTTAAGACGTTCAAGAACTCTTCAAATTGGGTTGTTAATGTGATGTTTGTATTGTATGTTTCAATTTTAACATCAGGATTAATTTTTGTCAATGTCATTGATGCTGCTGTAACTTTGCTCAGACCCGCTTGAGAAGGTTGGTAGAAGAGACGGTTCATATTAGCTAGTTCTACTTTGTCATAGTCAAACAGAATTAACTGAAATCAACATACATATCAAGCAAGACCTAAAATAGATGTCAGCACAATATTTATTTTTTCTCTTAGACCTAAGCATCCACATAGTAGGTTTGAATAAATTTGCATTCAACTGTGTTATTAGCTTTAATATTAAGCATGAATTGGCCTAATATCAGACTTAATATTAAAAACTTAAATTTTAATTTAATGTAAATTCATTAATAATGAAATTAATAACACAAGATTGGTCCTGTTAAAAACAATTTGTAATATTGCTTATGAGTCTAGGAGAGGAAACAATAGTGTACTTGACATGTTTTTAAAAGAAAAATATATTTAATACACTATTAATGAGCACTACCTTCCCTATGCCACAACGAGTGAGCATCTCTGCAGTTACACTACCAACTCCACCAACACCAACGATCACCACAGTGTATTTTCTGATATCCTCGTAATTCTTCACAATGCCCATTCGTTGCAGAGCCATTAACCGGCTGAAATGATTGAAGCAGTTATGTTATATGCATAATACATATTATATTAATCACAATGAGACGTCAGACACTGAGACGCCGCTCTTACCTGTATGGGTTTGAGTCAATCACTTCTGCAGACATCTCTCGAATTTTGTGCTCTGCCACTTCGTGCACGCCCGGCGCTTCAGTAAGCTCCATTAGAGTCTTTTTGAAGTTTTCGATGCGTTTTTTGATGTTTTCCACATCTTCTAGAGACATCTTAGCAAATAGACAAGACACAAGAATCTTACACAAAACTCACGAGTAAAAATAATTTGACTGTAGTCAATAAAACGTTTGAGAAGGTGTTACCGAGTGTAAACGGCAAACTCTGAACGTAATTAATAGTAAAAAGTAAAAGTTGTACTACACCAATGATAGTATAAAAAGCAGCTTACGCGTGTCACAATACCTCAGAAATAACAAAATAACTACCGCAGTTGCACCGTACCGACTACCGAGCTGATAATACGTAACGGACACGACGCTCGACAGTTGCAGTAAGTAATATTATGTTCATACTCGTGATTATTAAATTAGGTATATACCGCTTATAGAGTACTCTATGATACCGTTACCACAATTTAAGATGACGTTATCTATAAATATTGACCACCACATACCACGAACAGTTCATTGCCTATTTGCATAAAATAAAATATTGGTTGGTCCACATTTTATTAGGTACCTCTAAATATATGACCATAGTTAAGTCTAGACGTCTAGTCAATTCTTGTAACTTATAATACCATTTATATAATTTTTTTTTTTTTATTAGAATACATTTACAATCTGTTATTTTAAAAATTGGATAGGTTACAAGTTTATCGTTTACACTGTTTACAACACATGATTAACTTGTGAAGGAAATTTTTTACTAACAACATCTCACAATTTTTTCATTTTTTATTTTATTGTATTACTTTTATATATTAATCAAATCTCTAGACCATTTCCTTTTTAGACGACGATTGATAATACCAAGAAAGTTAGGATGACATTTTGTCAACGAGAAGGTTTAAGTGGCTAATTAGTTTATTGCAGAATCGATAATAATGGGTATTTGCCAGTCCATTGATGGTTTTTATGAACTATGAAGAGATTCGTTAATAGCAAATCAAGGAGCTCTAGCTATAAGTCTAAGACTTATAAGTTATAAGACTGGAAGGCTTAGACTGGAGGACCTACTATTATACCTACGTATATCCCATGGTTTAAGCGGGAACCCAAATTTGAATGCCATAACCAGATGGGTTTGACTATGGCATTTTAAATGAGAGCTTTTAGTTTAAGTTGAATTTTAGATTTAAGAAAGGGTCTAAGTAGATGTAATAGTGTTTTTGCCTATTTGCGTTTAAACTTGGTATGTTGGACCCACAGAGGGGTTTATCAAGAATGATTCCTAAGTATTTAGTTGAGAACTGGACTTGGATTGGTTTGTTGTTTATTCGGAGTTGAGTGCATTCCTTTCGACTTAAGGTGAAGTTTACTTAGACTTATTTTTCATTATTGATTTTAATTTTCTGTTTTTTAGCCCAGAAATGTATTTTATTTAGGTGTGGCTGGATAGGGTGTTTAATACAACGAAGATAAGATCTTTTTCAGATGCCCGAATTTCAGTGTCGTCTGCAAATGTGACCAGTAGAGTTTTATTTGAATTAGTATATCAGATGTAAATATAATATATTATGTAATAAAGAATAAAGATGAGAGGTCAGAACCTTGAGGAACACCCGCTTTTATTTGTTTGGAGTCAGAGATTGAGTTGGAGTGGTATACTAAAAATGAGCGTATATATTATATTTAAAAACCAGTATTTCAATATTGAATATAGATATTCAAATTTCCATATCATTACCCACGCATGAACGTATAAATAACTCTAACAACCTGTTAGGTTAGGTAAAGAATGCACAACATCGACCATTTTACAAATATTAATACAAATATTAACAATATACCGGCCATTAATACAATCAATTTTATTGTAATTAAAAATAATTTAAATTGAAATAAATGTACACCCTATAATTCACTATGGTAACTTTCTGCGCCGTTTGTCGTTTTTGTACTTGTATTGGGCTCTTCTGCCTACAATATTAGTGAAAAATGATTGGTCTCAATATAATTATCCAATATGTAACATCGAAATAAAATTATATAAAATTGTTTTTCATCTGGACAAAAAGCTATAGGTATATCTCAAGTTGAGATTCTCAACAAACGCCTCAGAAAACAAATGTAATGGTAAAAAACATAAGGCAAACCAAAAAAAAATTTAGTTTTATTTATTTTGAATTATTTGTTGTTTAAATCTCTCCCATCTATACCTATAGATAATTCGACTAAATTAATATTAATAATTAATAAACACATAAGAAATATTAGCTGGATTTTGTCTACAAAGTAGAAGAGTCGACGTATATTGTAAATATGTAATAAAGGTCTTTATGATCTACACGAAAAGTTCTATGTAATGATGTCTATTGGGAGACAAAAAAAAATTCGTTTTATACAGAAATTTATTAAATATAATTAAATATTTATGTTATTCTTTTGTTTTTACATTTATGTTAGATGCAAATATTTTACTTTTTTATTAAAGAAAAATAGGTAGTGAGTTTCGTTTACTTATTATTATTTATTTTTACAAATTGTAATTTTTTTGTAAAAAATTTCGATTTAATTATTGGTTATTGCTCAATGCAGGGATTGGTAATTGACAGCTCGCGTACCATTTTTACTATATTTATTTCATATCTATCATATCTACAAGAACTGATGTCCACAACTATAGTACAAATATTGATTAAATATAGGCAAATTTCTTAACATATAGGTTTGAATTAAAAAAATAATATTATATTCTACAATTATATACCTGGTGATGAAATGTAAGTTTGGTATGGTTATTATTTGAATTACACCGCGCTATTAACAATTTTATTCCGTTCGACGGGCACACTTGCTTTCTGATGATAACAAGTGACAACAATCGGCTTTTTGCACTGAACGGCGAATCTTTAATTGCCTCAATAGACAATAATCAATATAAGTTCTGTTCAATTTAGTAATTTACTTATTATAAGTTACAAATAAGTATTAACGTTTGTTTTTTGATTTGCATTTAAAACAATTATCCGGCCAATATGGGCAAATCAAAAAGTATGTTTTATATTTGATTTACCCAATAAATCTTATACAATTAAATAAATAATTGTAATGATTATATCAAATTTGTTTGGTTTTAATATTTTTAGAAAAACATTCGAAAAAGAGCAAAAAAGAAAAAACTGTAGAAAGTGGAGGCATCAAGAAATCAAAACAAGTATTAGCAGATTATGATCCTACCGGACCAGTTATGCTTTCAGGATCATTATACTCTTTTCGTGAACTTAAACCTATAACGATTCCTGAAAAAGACCTCGTTAGTAATATACATACCTTTTAATATATATATAAGTGCTGCTCCTTATACAATCTGTTTATCTCTCACCCAAAATTAAGTGTGTATTAGTAAAATGTAATTTAAGAATGAATGTTGAATTGTGCAGTTATTTAATGACAGACTGTCATGCAAGTCATTGTATTTGCCTTAAAGAATGAAAATGATTCATGTTGCTTATTCAACTGAACAGTCCTTCAGTTTTCAGTTATATATAGAACTCCTGATTGCTTAAGAGTGTTTAAGTAAATTGGATTGTGTTTGAGCAATTTTAAGTCATAATTTTATATTTTCATTAATTTATGTTGCTTTATTAGTAAAATTTATAATTTTTGCATGCACACTTATAAGCTATGTATTTATTATTATTTAGTTTATATTTAATGAAAATTGTTCATATTTAGCTTGGACGTTGTCGATTTGTTGCTGAGTTTGAAAAATTGAATCGTATTGGGGAAGGAACATATGGTGTCGTATGTAAGTTAAATTTATTATTTTTTTCAATTTTTGATATAGTCTTTGTACACTAATTATTTTACTCAGTTGAGTGATTAATAAAAAATATTAGATTGTACTGTATTTTGTTAGTCAATTGCATTTTTTTAATTGTTTTTAAGATCGTGCAAAGGATTCAAAATCACCTCTAGAAAAAATAGTTGCATTGAAAAAAGTTCGCATGGAAAATGAAAAGGAAGGATTACCAATGAGTGCACTTCGTGAGATATCATTATTATTGAAATGTGATCATGAAAATATTGTTCGCCTTCAAGAAGTTTTAGTAGGCAGAAGTTTAGACAGGTAAATATTTATAAAAAGTAAACATTATTCTATTATACATTCTGATCTTTTTAATAAAAGTAATGATTTTGTACTATAAAAATAATTTGAGCAAGGAAATAATTGCTGTAAGTAAGGTACCAAAAAAATGGCTTAATTAATTAAGGACCAATATAATAAAATAATCTGTTTAGAAAATACTTAACATGAATGATATTAACCAACCATTATATCTATGATAATTATTATAAAAATTAAAACTAACATGTTAACAATGATATAATATGTTGACATTTAATTTACAACTTCTGGTATATGTAATTTAATTTTTTTTTATGTATGGCACTTATGTCTGGGAGTAGGTCCGAAGGCTTAGTTCAGACGCCTATTTGGCAGAACTTTTAGTGGGGCATTTGTAGGTTTCTGCCATACCCGGTTAGGAGATGGCGGTTTTGCCATCTAGACAGTTGCCTACCTAAACTACCCAAAGAGTGATGCCATCTGTAGCTGGCTTCAAACCAGTGACGGTGTACGTCACAATCGACGCCTTAATCCGGTCGGCTACTCTGTCCCCCATGTAATTTAATTAAGTTCAGTTGAATAATAATAAATATAATTTATTATTTCAGTTATGTAATTTTCAAAATTATTTATTATTTTCTCAGTGTAGTAATATATTTTAATTTTAAAACGTTTAGTTTTAGTCTTATACCTGTAGTATTATAATATTTTGATTTTAATCATATGTTTTCATATACATTTTTTAGTATTTTTCTGTCTATGGAATATTGTGAACATGATTTATCGAGCTTATTAGACAACATGGCTACTGCATTCACTGAATCTCAAGTAAAATGCATATTTTTACAGCTCTTGAAAGGACTTAAGTATTTGCATTCAAATTTCATTATTCACCGTGATCTCAAGGTATCTAATTTATTGATTACAGACAAAGGATGTGTAAAAATAGGTAAATATATATTTACTAAAATTTTTAAATAAAATATACATAAGTTATAGTAATTAATATTTATTTTTGTACTTTAGCTGATTTTGGATTGGCTCGTTTTTTTGGTGTGCCACCAAAAAAAATGACAGCCAAAGTGGTAACACTTTGGTACAGAGCTCCTGAAGTTTTGTTGGGATCTCCTAAGTTGACAACAGCTATTGATATGTGGGCAACTGCATGTATTTTTGCTGAACTTTTGCGTATGCTAGTTATTATATTGTTGTTGTTATTGTAAAACATAATTCATAAGTATTTGTTTTTTTTATAATTTAGTTCATAAGCCATTATTACCTGGACGTACAGAGATACATCAACTTGATTTGATATGTCAACTTCTTGGCACCCCCAATGCTTCAATATGGCCTGAAATTGACACATTACCAGCTCTGAAGAATTTTACATTGAGACCACAACCATATAATAATATTAGACCTAAGTATTTAACATTTAAAAAATATACCTTCACACAAAAGAAAATATAATTTTTTTTATTTAGATTTCCGTGGTTATCAGATGCTGGTATTCGTCTTTTGAACTTTTTGTTCATGTATGAACCGAGTAGAAGAGCAACTGCTGAAGAATGTCTACAGAGTTCATACTTTGTTGAACCACCATTGCGTAATTATCTTAAATCATTGATTACGTTATTATTAAAGTCTGAATTTTAATGCTCTTTAGTGAAAATACAAGCATTGCACTGTAAGCCTTGGAAAATAATGCATAGTGCATCAAAATTCTAGTCATAATTATTATATATGATTTTAACTATATAATAATACATGTTTTTTTTTTTCATAATTTCTCATCATATTAATATTTATATTTTTAGCGTCTGATCCTAAGTTGATGCCTACATTCCCACAACACCGCAATTTAAAGCTTAAAAAACCATCAAATCAACCAAAAGTTTGTCAAACTATTCCACCAGTTGTGCCATCGTTAACAGACTTATTAAGGTGACTTATTATCATATAATACTACTATCACTGACTATAAATTTTATTATTAAAAATGTACTTTTCTGTTACAGCTGGAAGTAGAAGAAAGAATATTTTTTATAACAATTATCCTAATTCTTGATACTTGTACAATTTTTATTCAACAAAATTATTATACAACAATTTTTGAGTATACTCTTATACTAAAATACATGAGCTAATTCACTTTTAAAAATAAACATAATTATATCAGATTATAAATATTCTCTGTCTACAAGTTTTTGATGCGCAAACTTTCTTTTCCATTTCTTGGGTGGCACCCAACGGTGTTTGGTAGTGTATGTTATTTTCATTAGTTCTTGTTGTACTATTTCATTATTGGGTTTGCTGAATACTTCGTGCACAAAATCTTTATTTTGAACTCGTAAAACTGAGTTGTCCTGTACCTTGTTGACCGGTAACGGTTTGGTGAACTCGTATGGAAAAGAACTCTCTGGGTGATAACACACTATGGTAGACGCGTCGTCAGTGACGACAATGGCACGTTCGTTCTTGCTGGAACGCGCAGAAAACCCGCTGGCTAGCCGTCTGAATAATCGCAAACCGTTCATGACTTGGCAGAACAGAAAAACTTCTCAAAATTTGAATGATCACGAAACGACTACTATCACCGGGTAGCCAGAAATTACGTGGTGAGCATTCGACAAACGGAACGATTACGATTAATCAAAGTGTTCAATAGTTCAATGCATAATCGTAAAATGTAAATAAAAAATAAACGTTATCGGAAAAAAATTGTTATCAAGGTTTACAAGATCGAGTTCTTGTTAACCTAAAAAAAAATACGAACAATTTGTTATTATCGAGAGAGCGATCGTTTGAGTTCTAAGTTTTAGAGATCTTAGATCATACGCAATTTAATAATGATAGTTAATGATCTAGGGTTGATATTAGAGAAAGATCCATTCTAAATTCAATTCAATTTTAACAGTAATATTTTCGTATTTGTTAATCGATAGTCTGATTCATCGCCACCGAATTGTTTTTCTTTCCATGGCCGTACCGTCACCCACCCCCGCACAATCATGTTCAACGGTGTTGTTGTCGTTTTCACGGCGCGCATTCGTTCGTACTCCGTCCCTCCCTGTGCTACCGTCCGACCATCATCGACGCTTGATAATGTGACGTGCGGATTTTTAAAATTTTAAATTTTTTCGTCGTTTTTGCGTCATCTCGTCCGAATTTCCCCCGCGTTTGTTGACTTTTCCAACCGCACCACAATGCAGAGGAGCGCTGAGTAAAATGTCCATAAACCCATCATGTCCAGCGATCCGTTATTTTTCGCGCACGAAAACGGCGCGACGTCCGTGCTAAACGGTTGTTGTCACCACCGCCGCCGTGAGCGAATCGCTTCGATGTCGGCTGCGTTTCGACGTTCAGTTTACGCTGTATTGCCGGTGACGACGCGTTTTGCGCGTGAGTCTGTTCCAAGAGAACACGTTTAGATCGTCGGTTCCGTTTTCGTCGCGCGAAAGCCGGATTCCCTGTTGCATATTATCGTTTGTTTCCCATAATAACTATAGTTGTAGTGAACGCTGCTGTAGCAGTGGTTGTTGTTTTTGTTGTTCACCTTGTTAACTTACTCAAAATTCATTTTCTGTTGATTTGTTTTTGTGTACTTGTTTAGTATTTGTATTTTTTGTTATTTTGTTATTATTTATTTATTTTTTTTTTTTTTTGGTTCAATCGTGTTGTGCATTGGCTTCTGAAATTATCTCTGAAATACTCGTGCAGCTGTAAGTACCTACCGTATTTAATTTATTATAACTTATAAGCTACCGTTATCAGTTATCACCATGATTGTTATCGCCAGCGTAACATAATAATTGAGTTAAAAAATATAATTCCCGTTTATGTACCTATTTATTGACCAAATGAAGTTGATTCCAGTAATCAACTTTGGTACTGAATCATCCCATTAAGTTCCTCATAGAAATGTTCTATAAAGTTAATACATCAATATTAGTATTAGATACATAGATTTTATTCTAAGTGATTTAGGCAGTATGTAGGTACAAAAATACAAACAAGATATTAAATATATTCTAAAGCATTGTTTTTGCTTATACTTATGCAAATATAAATATATATTAATTAATATTAAAATTTAATTGTTTGTCGGATGAGTACTTTATTTTTGGGACTTAGGAAGGTATGATGAAACTATATAATCAAAATCCATACCCCTTACTTTTTTATATCTAATGATTTTATTTTATCATTTTATAGGCTTTCAATATGATTTTATTTTATTTTAATACTTAAAACATAAAAAAGATCTACCTAAACATTTCACTCTAACATATTAACATTGCGTTTTTTTTTTACAATGTCATTTCATAAGAATTGTAAGTATTTCAAAAATTTAAAAAAATAATTAATTTATGTTTATTAATAATTAAAAATAAATTTATTATAAGTATCTATTAAACATTTTTAATTATCATTACTATTTTTTATATATATAATTAATTGAGAGTAGATAAATACATACCTATTAGTCATAATTACTATCTTTATTCATATTTACCATTCAAAGTAAATACAGAAAAAATACAGTTTATATGGTATATATATTTTTATAATATATCAATAAATAAATAACGGTATGTAACCTAACCCACCTATAATTTATTAATTTATTACCTACCTAAATTGTATAATTAATGAGTTATATATTTTAAAAATAACGCATTCATTTAAAATTCATTCTATTTATTACTTAAAATGATTAATTCATGTTACATATACTTTATTCTTATTGCATTGGAATTGAATAAGTATTATTATAATTAAATAATTTTGAATATATTATAATAACTTATTAATCTATTGTTTTTTTTGACACTATAAAGAGTATATTTAATTTTATTCATTTTTATCAAAGTTTAAAATCATAAAACACTTAATATAGTTATTATGTGATATCCACACCAATAAGTGTTCAAAAATTGTCGGGTATCCTAAATTATATATATATATATATATATATAGGTACCTATAAATAATAATAAATTATTATAAAAACGTTCATAGTTGAAAATAATATCTTATCGTTTTATTTCTTGAATTAGATGAAATATAGTGTCCAATTGACATACCTTATAGTCATGCTCAATTAATTTTGTATTTGAAGCAGGCACCTATTATTTGTAATTGTTAATTTATTCTTGGAGTTTAATTTAATACCAATTTAATGTTTGTGACTTGTGTACGTATCAATGTGGTTTGTTTGTTAGTATAGTTTTGGTTACTTAAGAGTATTCTTTTATTTTAGTTAAATGAAGCATGCAAATGGTTTATTTAATGATTATATACTATTTAGTATATTCGTTAAATTATTAATTTTACTTAGATGTATGTAATTTTGTGTTAAAGGTAAATAAATGAAAGTTTATGAATTAGGTATATTTTAGGTTTTTAAAATTGATAATAATAATTTAGAAAACATTTTGACTTGAAAGTTTTATAGTATTTCTAATTAGTTGTTAAATATATTATGTAAAAACTTAAAATAAACAAAGACGTGTATAAATATTTTTAAAGTGGTTTTAAAACTGAAGTGGGTACTTTATGAATGTTTAATATTGTATCAACTATCATTTCGTTTTTATGCTTATGTGATCAATTAAGTATTATAGTTTTACATTGTTTAGTTGATATTTTATGATTATATGATGGTGAATGACACTATTATAGCTATTTATTTTATAATATTATTATTAATTATATGTATAACCATTATAATTGAATTTAAAATGCAAGATAATTTTTTTTATCTGAAGCATTAAATATTAATCGCAGGCTTATAATATGTATTTATTGTCATTTGAAATGACTAGAAAGTTGTTCGTATGAGTCATGTTATTGTACACCATGGGAAGAGTTCAACCACGGAATATAAAAACGATGGTTTTGGAGTCTGAATAAAATCGAGTTTCCTTTATAAACGACTCGTCTACACCTTTGTCAACTGGTTTTTTTTTATATAGATCGGAAGTGAGCTGTTTTTGGTTTACTTTTAATTCTAGTTGTTTACCGAGTTGTTTAACTATAGTATATAGTGTAGAGTAGATGGTGTTACACAACATAGCATTTTATACAAATGATCGATGGAAATTGACGTTTTTTAAATGAATAGTACACAACTATTTTTTTCTGAAAATTGAAATTTAATACTCAAATTAGTTTTATATGCTATTTGAAGCATTTGTCAATAGTGAAATATTACGTTGGGTAGGTGGTATCTATCCTCCTGAAAGCAGTTAAAACTTGAAAAATGTCGTCATTCTATATAATAAAAATCAAATGAGTGATAAACCTATTGTTATTTATTAAATAATCAATGATATTGCTGAACAATAGTTTTATCATGTTTAATTTGTAATAACAGGTCGAAGAGATAATAAATTGTTCTTAAAACATAAAATATAATTTTGTATTTTTAGTTGATACTAAGATATGAAACGCGTAATATTAGGCAAAAGTATTATTAATTTTGTGACTATTAGTGTGTAAATAGTACTATTTATCACTTTTATTTTCGTTTTAAATAAATAAGTATCTTCATTACTCGATTGATTTATTTCAATACATTCTGTTATTTACTAAAATAATTATCTTACAAAAACTAATTAGGTATATTTGTAATTGTTATAATAATCTTTTATTACAGAATTTTATTCAATAATAATATTCTTGATAATTTATTAGTGCGAAACCAATTATTATAATATTAATTTTTTTCTTATTCACTTAATTATAGTATGTCTTTACAACTCATTTCTAGGAGGAGAAGCTCAATTTTAAATATAATATATTTAAGTAATTATTGCAGAGGTGTATAAATTGCAGCTTTTTTATGAGGAATATATATTACATATTATGTGGCTAATGTGAGTTTTATTTTGGTTCTGGCATGTGTAATGTTATAAATTATAATAATCGTCAGAAAACAATATTCCTGTTACCGGAATTTTGTCGCTCCACAGTCTACACCATAGACCTTGAAAAAATATATTTTAAATAAATAAAATGTATTATTGTTTATGCTCTAGTTCTATACGCATTGCTATGATGCATTTTCGTAAAACAGTTTAATTTTAATCGAGAACCCTTAAAAATTGGATGATTCCAAATTGGTAGGTACATATTTACAAGGTTGATCGACTAAAAATGCCGTGGTTACTCTAAAACCGGAGTATTCGAGTGCTGGACGTGTAGGCGTGGTTAATAACTTAATTAAATCAACCGCGATAAGCCTAATTGAGATTACCATCATCCAGTAGGCAGTCCGAGTCTTTTCGGTTGGTCAGTCACATTCTTTGCATCATCCATAGTATTACTATCCAATTCTTGGACTAATATCCGTTCTCTCGCCAATGTTAGCAGATATTTAATTTTTTTTTACATTTAAGTACATAGTGTTGTGTCGTGCGTATTTGCGAGCTTTATTTGCTACCGGTCTGACCATTTTCCTATAGGTGATAATAACAAAGTAAGACGATGCACATAATTCATAAATATTACTCATATGTAGAGTTTGTTTGAATGCACTATTAAGTAAAATAAGTGATAGTAGACATAAACAATTTATATATTAAAAAATATTTTACATTTGTATACTTGTAATTTTAATATATTGAATTAATCAAATTAATTATTACATGTTGCATTTGAAAAAATATGAACTACAAAAATAACTTAAGATAATATTCCTATGCAGAGTTTTAAATATTGTTGTATGAAAGTAAATCAGTAGACAGTAAAAGGAGGTTTCTATAGTCATTTTGTGTAGAGATGATTATTTATTTTCAAAAAACGGGTTATTTTCCAAAGTTATAAACATTACATTAGTAAATGTATAAGTAATAATAGTTATATAGTTTAATGATAATAATTAATAGGTATAAATGTGCAATAATATACATAATTAACTTTAATATAAATATTATAATTGAAATATTGATTTTAAAGTTATCGTATTTATTTAAGTATTATACAATCTCTATAATTTTAAAATGGGTAATTGAAAATATTCTAAAAAGTGAATACAAATCACCGCAATTAATATTTTAATTGAACAAAAATGGATTACGCACAGCGCTTGTTAAACATAAAGACAATTTAAATGAAAATGACAGCTGTATATTTATTATAATAATCGTAAATTAGTCATCATAAATAAATTTAATTATTGTATTTTGTGATTGAAATATGTTCTAAAAGAACTGGTGGGTGGTGGTGGAGGGGCGAGAGATATGTGTTAAGAAACTTAATGAAATGGTCCAACTGTATTTAATGTTATTAACGGTCAATGTTCCATATTATGTTGTTATTAGTTTTATACTAATAATTAAGGTGCAGACTTAAATTCTTTAAATAAAAAAAAAAAAAAATGCATTAAAAAGATACTATTTAATGCTTTTATTATATCATAAATAATATTTCATTTTTTGTTGTTATTTTTTAATTGAATACTTTAAATGTGAAAAGTATAGTTTTAATTTTTAAATTAATTTAGGTATAAATCAAATTTATTTTATTGTGTTTAGAAAGTAATATTTTAGGACTTTCATAAGGAAGTGCAATTTGATTTTAAATCTGCGCATTATATTATTATAAAATTAATGATGTTGGAATTTATGTTTTTTTTTTTAAAATTTTAACTATAGATTAAATTATGTGACGTAATTCAAATTATTGTGATTTTAGGAATGTATTTATATTTTTAAATTTGTTTTTCCTGTTATTGTATTAACTAATTTCAAAAGTATTTAAAAACATTATTTTTTGACTAATGCTTATAGATACATATCTTAATATATGTAAAATATTGCGGTTTTCCTTTTTAATAGAATGCCTCATCCGCTATATGTATTGTTTTCATCTTACAAACGTACAACATACCAAATTTTTGTTCAATTAAACCAATTTTGTGTGTTTAGCTCAAATATTTGGGTGAAATGACCTGTTATCAAACTTATTGGTAAGAATACTAACTGCAGAATTCTCTCGTTGAGTTTTTACGATATTTTATTTTTTAACCGAATTATAAGCATTTTAAAATATTATTTTACACTCTTAATTCGCTTAAAAAGAAAAAATACCGTAAAAAACCGACGAAACAATAAAAATGGACAATACAACAGATATGGCGTCCTCTTAAGTGATTGGTTAACTTTGTTAACTACTTTTGATTTCATTGTACATACCTATACACATATGGCTAAATATTTATGCAGATAATTGAAGTTATTTGTGTGTAATTAAATCGAACATTAAAGAATAGTCTAATTCAGTGATAAATTTAAACTATTTAAGCATGAAATAATTAATGATTTATAAAATTATTATATTTTCAAGAGTATTTTCTGGTGCAGAATTTTAGTTTTATGATGAATACTATGTAATTAATTAGTATTTCGTTTTTATAATTCGTAAAATTGTAATAAGTAATCGATTAATTGCCTCAGGTGTTAAGTAAATACTCTGATAAAATTAAAGAATAAATTATTAAAAATATTTTCTAGTATTCTCATACTAATTATTTGCTTTATTTTAAATATTTCATTTGTATTTATTATTCTATTGATTGTTGGCGATATTAGATGACATTCACAGAATATTTATAGTTAGGTATTAAATCATTGAATGCTTATAATTTATATTTGCTCAAACCGTTATTTTCTAGAACACTGATATGTATATATAATATATCTTCTCTGGCTTGAGACATACATTCTATATTTTTATGTGTATTTTATCTGAATGTTGACATATATGGCTTGTAGGTTTTTGTTACTACTTATACGTAGCAAATACAAATTATTAGCCCATATAGGAATTTCTTTATTAGATCAATCGAAGCCGTATATTTCCCTGTCATTGTATACTTTTTATTATTTTCTCATAATATCATCTCATACGACTGACGGACTCAATAATTTTTTAACAGAATTCAATTCGTTGTAGAAGTGTTGATTTATCGTTGTTGTTTCGATTCGATTGCATTACATTAGGTGTAAAATACAATTCTTTGACGAAGTACGCTCTTCTTAATTGGCAGTTTCATTTGAATGTCTCGTATAATAATTATTGTGCATAGTTGCATAAATATACTTTGTGTGCTTATCTTTTTTAAGTCCCAAGTTTTAAATATTTACTTTTAATTTTGATTCTGAGTGTACTGTGCCGTGTTAAATTATTTCATTTAATTAGCAATAATTTTTTCTCATAATATTTCTAGAATAAAGAATAATGTTTCAAAAGTTTCATGTAGCAAATTTTTAGAATTGAAAGCTCAATATGAATACTTCTAATGTTAGTTTATTAAATAAATAATTATTTAACTTAAATTATAGAGTATTCTTAAAAATAATTATTAAGAATAAATAATGTAATTTATCTGCATGTTTTTTTTATTAATTTAAAATCGATTTTAATCTTGCAAATTTTAACCCCGAGGGATTATTTTTGTTTTTTTTTGACGGGTGATGTACAATATTGTGTATATATATATATATTTAATTCGCTAATTTAGTGATAATAAAAATATTTTAAGTACAACATTTTGACCATATTTAGGTTAGATAAATAATATACGTATATTTGAAAATGTTGTCAAGTTATTGTTTTCAATTACCTAAACAATAATTTAAAAATTGTATTATAATAAATTTGAATTTAAAATTAACCCATACAGAGTTCTCAACTGCAAACTGTATTATTTTATCATAATCTAGAATAAAATGTGTGGGAAGTTGGATCCCGTCGATATTTTTTTTTATCACGGCAACTAAAAACACTGAAAACGCGATGGTTTACTGTTTTGTGAATAATATATTAATTTCAAAATATTTATTCATTTCATCATCGACTGTTGATGCTACTGTGATACTACTTATATTCATTGCAGTTAAGTTTTGAACTAATTAAATTTACAAACGTTCTCGGACGTGGTGTGCGAACGGATTGAGTAATTGTGTTTTATTTTTTTGCAATATTGAATATTTAGTCATCACTCGTCATAAATAATAATAATTAATAACATAATCATCGGAGAAAAAAAAATGTACTTTATGCACGAAGACGTCTCACCGCGCCTACCGTGTGGCAACACTGTGACACCGTCGGCGGGGCATCTGGCGCGCGCCGGCATCGAAATCCCGCCGTCCCCGACCGCGCGCGCGCGCGCTACTGTGGTCGTCGCCGTCATCGTCGACTTCTTACCACCGGGCACCGAGTAATCCGCGGACGGGCGCAGTGAGGAGATCGCGTTCGCGCTGCGCACACGTTTGACGACACCAACGACGACGACGCGTTCGGTGGGACTATTACACCTCCCCCGGTGTTGCGGTGGCGCGTTTTCCAGTGCGGTGTGCCCAGTGTCGCGTGCTATTCGCGTTACGCGCTCGTTAGGCCTCGAGTGTTCTATTTTGAAAATAATTAATTTACCGTCTTCGTCGTCGCTGCTCCCACGTGCGAATAATCATTAACATGATTAATGGTGACGAAAGCGGCGGCGGAATGGCAAAACCGACGCCCCCGCCGACGTTGCCCAAGTCTTACACGCCGAGTGCCGCGGCCGCGTATCGTCTGGCCAGCATGGAACGGCTGGCCCAACGTCAGCGGATTTTTGAACAGGGCGGACCGGCGCCGCCCTCGTCCACCGCTGCTACCGGCACTACTACCGTTACCGCTGCGACATCGTCTGACGATCACCAGCACCACCAGTCATCGCCGGTCGGACCTCCGCCACCCGTCACCGCACCTAAACCTGTGCTCGGCACCAAGGCAAGCGTTTTCTTGTTACGGGTCTACTTTCCCGGGCGGGCGTCGCACCGTATATTCTGTTGCGCGGTGTTAGGTTAAGTCGCGGTCTGTCGCGCGGGGGTGATGGGTAGGTGGGTTGGTTTTCCGATCTGCAGAGATCGTGCGCTGGGGTGTACCCTCCTCCCTCCAACAACTAGTTTTTAAAGGTCACACCCTTATTTAAGGCGTGTCACGTGCGATTCGTCTCGACACATCGCGACGATATTATAGTATCATTACAATATTTTTGTCTTTGAAAAAAAAAAACAAACATTTTATTCTTATCGATTGGAAAATATTAATTATATCATCGTTATTGTATACCTCGGGCTTCGAGTGCTGCGCGGCGTATGTTTGCCACCAAGGTGGACGCTTAATATTATGTATATAAGTCAACCTTGATACGAGTAGGTCGATGGAGGTGGTCGGTTTATAATGTATATTTTAAACGTTTCGTTATCGAATTATTTTGCTGACGACCGCATGTAATACGCGGTGTTGTCTCTAAATTAATTAACCATCTAATCGACGGCCGCAGTGATAATGTTTCGACCGACGGATGCAGTCGCAGTGTTTGTTATACACACATATCGTGTGTGTTATATAAAACCACTATCGTTCGACTATATTTTCATAACAATCAATATGTGCTCACAAGGTACTTCAACAATAATTATTATCGTGTTTTCGCGCTGGTCGGAATGAAACAACAAAATGTGCAGGAAATTGACGTAGATAAGACACACTCGAGCGGCGGAGGCCGTGAACTCTGGAGTGATTATTTGAATTATTGAGCTAATAGTTAATACATATTGTTCTGAACGGTACGAACGGTTACATTATATCATTTTTTCTGCCGCTCCGAGCGAAGCATATTCTTCCCCTTTTAGTGACGAAAAAAAAGCGACACACGCCTGATGTGTTGCGCTGCACACTCGCGTGTATAAATATAATAATGCGTACCTGCCTATACATATACATTTATTTTAAATTCCAGATGGAATGATAATTATAATCCGTGAGAAACCCGTCAGTTTTTTTTTTTCATTAATGTTATTAATGTTCTTTTTATCCTTTTCACCATTCGTCGGTAGATAGATGTGACGACGATGACGATATTGTTACAACGGTTATAAATTGTTGGTCATATCGTGTCGCCGGTGTAACCAAGCTCAATTGTAGCTAATCTTTTTTTTTTGGCGTTCCGTCTATTGTAATATCATTGTCGTGGTTAACACATATCATACCTACTCGTCATTTGTCGGATACTTTGCACAGTGTTGTTTGTTCGTGCCATATGTGAGCGTGTGTTATACTTTTAAATCGACTCGCAGTTGTTGTTCCGTCATTATATTATACATATATAGATGCCCGGGCTATAACTATACCTACTATTTATCATATTTATTACGAGTATTTGTACACCACCTGTTTGTCGACAATTGTTTACGCGCGATTTCGCCGTGCTTCGTCAGCTCTCCCTTTACAAATCCAAGTTTTCGCGTTCAAATTCGATAATCTCCGTCGAGGATCCGTGTGTGTAACTTGAATTTAGAATATGTATAAAGTCTAAAGCTCTGCTGGCTGCTACATGCAAATTATTGTTAAACTTACAAGAATCGTTTTAATCAAAACAGCATTTTTTTTCAATTTTTTTAAACTGTCGTTAAGCTGTTGACATTTTATTGGTGAGTTAATACCATACCACCTTCCATGACTGAAATTTACGTTCGCGTTTAGTGATATAAGTGTATACTTAACTAATCTGATAGCATTGTTTACGGGGCACGTAAAGAAATTTCCATTATCGTGAAAAAATACTTAACTCCTTGCACACGAGCACACGTGTCGTATATCTATTGTGCGGTTATTATTATTATTATTATATTATGTTATTTTTATTAATACTATTCTTATTATAATAAATAGAACTACGTTAAATTTCGGTCACTCAACTCTTCGTTTATAGTTAAATATTTTGTCGTTTCACTATGTATAGTGTATGATATTTTTGTTATTATTTACTCTGATATCAACAGTATGTCATACACTTCGCTTGTATTCAGTTTTAGGTTCTACTATTATTGTCTTTTGATGTAAATTTTATTATAACAACCGACAAGGAGACACTGCCGCGACCTTTCCGACGGTATTGCTGAAGCTTTCACATCTACTTGATGACGAGGTCTTTCGTCTTTCTATTGCGAATAATATTTTTTACACTATGCATACAGTAGATCAATAATACGACCGTTGTAAACTGGTTTATTTGAGTCACACATGTTTTTGCCAGAGAATAATCGATTCATCGTTATTCTTTATTAATATATTGCGAGTTTTCATGGAAGTTGTTGTGTAGTCATCATAATCCACTCATCGGTCTAATTCAAGTTATGTTTTGTTAATGGAAAATTATTTTTCAATTAAAGGTTTGATTTTTAGTACATTTATTTATTCGTGAAAAACTATTACAACTGTCAATTTTTGAATGCTTCTTAATATAATATACGGTTTTAAATTCTTTTTCTTGTTTGTCTTATAGTATAACCGTGTCATTTAAGTGTATGTCAATAAAGGTTAGAAAATTAAGCTTCGTGTTTAAAAATATAATAAATTCAGATGAATATGTTTTTAAGTTAAACTGTTTATTAGTATGGTTTTATTTTTTTAGGATTTATGTTTAAACTGATCCTATTATAAACTAAAAACGAATTATGACATTTATTAAAAATTAAGATTTATTGATTTTAAAAGTAAACATTTAAACGTTTACTATTATGAATTTGTAAAGAATGTTTACCATTCGTAAGTACACGTGACTATTAAAAAAACCTGTTTTTCCAAATTTCAATTTATGTTTGTTATTGGTTGATTAGTTACATTTTGGTGATAGCAATGTATAATGACATTCAAAAAACTGATATATTTTTTAAATGATTTTAAGATGTACTTATGTAATTTTAAGTTTTAAGTTTTGTTCTAATCGTCAGTTTAAATGTTATAATTTATATTTTTAATTTTATAATATTTCTATTCGAAACGATCTTTTAAAAACTAAATCCTCGTCGCATTTTTGCAAGTCTCTTTCATCACAATGTATTTAATATTGTGTTGTTGATTCATCGACGTATTTATGAATTCATAATATTTAAAATATGATTATTAAACATCTAAAAAGGGGGTTGCTATTATTTTAACACTGCTACATTTTAAGCATACTAAAATGATTAACTTTTATATTTGGAATATTTCTCTGAAATTCTTCCAGACCAATAAATTATATCATTTAAATCAATATTTCATTAAAAATTAACTATATTATATTATAGCTATTTAGATTTCTTCTAGTAATATATTTGATATTTCAATGATTTTTAAATATTTATAATTAATTTTGGTAATTATAAGATTATTTTTTGTAACAATTTTTGACATCATAGTCGTTTATACGTAATGTAGCCATTATTATATGCATTTATGTTAATGGTAATATGTAATATACAATATATTATATTATCATAATACATTATGAAAAATATTTACATATCAAATTAATGCGAAATAAAAACGATTTTATATTATTTTCTCGTATACTTTCCTTAATGATGTAGTATGCATGAATTGCTGATAAATATTTTTATGTTATGATTATTAAATATTTATAATTTATAATTATAAGCAGATAGCCTTTGTAGTTTTTGAACTTAACAAAAATGCAAAATTTAATGAATAATCAACTATTTTGATTAATTAATTTAAATATATCGTATTATATTGATAGGCAATTTTAAAATTATAAATTCTTGTTGTCCAATTTATTGGATTAGATAAATTTAAGGATTTTAAGGATTTTAATCGAATTTAAAGTGCAGCGTTTTATTATTCGTTGTAACAATGGTATAAAAACTGCCAGGATCTATTGTACTTGTTAAAAAATTTAACTCTAAAAATGCATATGAATTTTTAAAAGCATGGAATTTCTAATTAGATAGTAAATACTTAGTAAATCAGTGCTTTAAGAATTTACAGTTATAATGTTTTATTTACTATTTTTTAAAAATTATCATACTATTTTGTTGTTTAATAAATATATATTTTTGTTAGAATTGTAAAAATAGTAGGTATTTGCGTACACAGTTTGCACGTGTACTTATATGTATAAAAATACATAAAGTACACTTTTGTTCAATGCAATAATATATGGAAAACTTGACTTTATTACTTAAACATTAAACCAGATGATGAGTCATACACTTATATGCTATATTTTACGGTACTTAATGTTACCATAGAGGGCAGGTGAAGTGAAATCGTACAATTGCAGCAGTGTTTACCAATAGGCGACGTTGTTAGGGCATAATTTAAAACGAATGAATTTCAAATGTTGCAATACATATATGTATCCTGGTACTTTATCGAATATACATTTTAAAACTTTACAGTTCTAATATTTAGCGATATTTTGTCCTTTTTAATATATAATTCGAGCCATCTATAAACATAGATAGCTAGTTGTGATGTGTTTATGATTTATAACAAGTCTTACATGAACGTAAATATACAATTGACTAACTACCAAAATTGAAACATTTAAATCTCAATAATTTGTTGACTGTGTGCATATTTTTTATCACTAACGACGGAGATTAATATTTCAAGGTTGTTTTTAATGATGATTCTTTACTTATTCCATCAAAAGAACTATAGAGAACATTTTGAATGTTTCCACTTAATGATAATTCTATTTTATTTTTTTTTAATTTAAGTATTTGATTGATACTATTTTTAATATTTTATAATTTATTTTGTTTTCGACGGTTGAATACGCGTTTTAGACATAGATAAGTGTTTCTCTCATATTTTTATTTTAATTAACTAATAGTGGTATTTACGAAAATTGAAAATTGTCTTTAAACTGACCTTTACATTGCCCACTATAAAGACTTAAAAAAAAAATTTAACTTAAAATTGAAAATCGCATT